ACTGGATCAACTTTAAATTCAGCATTTGATGTTTGTCTGTTCGTTCGTAGTGATTTACACCAGCGTCATATGTCTGATTAGACCTACTACTTGTTCTTCAGGTTAATGATTGTGCGGTTTTTATGTCCAACCCAACCAAGAACCTCAATCTCCCGTATGTTGGCAAAATCGAAAACATGTGGGAGGGGTGTGGCGGGAACATGGTAGTCAGAGTCAAGTGGTTTTATCATCCTGAGGAAACGAAACCAGGCAGGAGACCTACTGATGGCAAAGTAAGCACTGCACTGCTATTTAACACCAGGCTGAATGTTACACGCACTTTGATAGGTTATTTTTTTTTACGAGTTATGGAAGGACAGAGGCATGGATGGCGTCTCAAAATTTTTGCTTCTTTTACCTTACACAAAACAGATCACAGGTGACATTTTGTATTTGATTGGCTGGAAGAGTGATGCGAATTTTTTAGACCAATCACAGAGTGTAGGAGGGCAGTTTTCAACCGAGTGTCGAAAGCAACCCAGGATTACGTTGGGTTTGTTCTAGTTGGCTCTAGAAAATTCGCGCCATATTCTCAACTAATCCGATGCAATCGCGACTCGGTCTCTCTCTTTTTCCCGCGTTTCAAGTAGTTTGTCTGTTTTTGCTTTGGGTTCTCATTGTTGTTTTAAACCTTTACTCTGGTTAGCCGTAGCAATATAAAAAAAAATGCTGCTCCATTCTAAAAACAGTGGATTACTCTCAACTCTCGAAAATGAAAATTATGGTTTATCCTCCCCTGTTTGCAGCAATCTTTGTACCGCTCGACCCACGTGGACGAAAATGACGTACAGACGATCTCACACAAATGTGAAGTGCTCACTCCTGAAGAATTCAAAAGACGTTCTCAGAGCCTTGATACGCCCGGTACCAGGACATCTCTGACAGATCGCGTGTTCTGCTGTATCGGTAGCTACGATCCTAACACCGAGACATTGCAGGCGGAACTGTGAATCCAGTGTGACGTTAGCCTAAAACTGTGATGTCTGGAGTGTAGCGGGATGCGGAATGCGTTGTGTTTTCCACGCGATGTTATCTTTCGTTGCGTTCAGAATGAAATTCTCATGCTGCGATCGGTTGTTATTTTGGTTGCTGTTGGCCAATCAGAGGCGCTCCCAATTCTCAAGAGGTAAAAGACCACGAAGCGCCAAAGCAAATTGTCTTAGTTGATGGAAAAATAGTCATTAAAGTTAAGGAACAAATCATCACTTCTCTATCCAAGTGGTGGTAGTTATTCTGTCTTTGGTAGGGCCATCATTTCCACTAGGTTAAAACATTCAAATGAAGACTAGAGAATGAACAGTTGTTACTGACAATAGATATTGGATCTGCATCAAAATCGTACATCTCAAGCGAGGAGAAGAAGAAAGTGTGATAATTGCCTCGTTTACCCTTTTTAAACTTACCCTCTCATTACAGACTTAAACGACGAGACTGGTGAATGTTCATCAGTCCAAAGTGGTGTTTTATTTCCTTGTGGTAATCACGTTGAGAGATATTTCTTGTTTACGCTGTCACGGAACGATAAAAGCACAGCTCATAACGTCCTTAATTTAATCCTCCATCGCCTTTAAACCGGGCAATCCTCCAGCCTTAAAACTTAAAGCGAAGTGCATAAATTGTTTGCGAAGAAATCGCACGTGTTTCCTCGCGTGGGATTCTTAGAGAAGTACACGAAATTCGTGTTTTGCGTCATTTCGCTTGAAGCGATTTTATCTTGTGTTCACGCTGTCATCTTAATTCATATTAGCTCCTAATCTTGCTTATTTCCGATACGTACTCAAACGCAGACGAAATGACTAGAATTCTCCTCTCTTCTAATGGAGATTTAAATTCATATTGTGTGCAAAAAAATATCTAAAATATTTTTTTATAAGGAAAGTGTGGAGCTAGCAGCCAGCCGGCTGGTAATGTTGAATTTGTAATGTAGGTTAACTGTAAGAAAAGAGTTCATGTTTGTAAATATGTGTACAGTCCACTTCTTAAAGTATGCTTTTGTAACATAACTCCCACGCTCGTACGGCCAAATCTCTCGTTTATATTATATAGAGAAAATATAATGAATATTTAGTTTTAGAATGAAAAATAAAGTTTTAGATTTTCTAGCTCTGTTGTTGTAATTACTCCTCGGACTTGGAACAAAGAAGTTGTCAAGTTCTTAGAATCTTTGAGAAAAGAAAAGAAGCATGTGCGCTAACCCTATTCCCTTTTTCCGCCATTTGACCGATGCATAAAGATGTGTTCTGCTCTTAGCACGCATTGCTCGTTCCCGTTTGAGAGAGAGGGAGTGGGGTGGAATTATGGTCAATTATTGATTCCATATGTGTGTCAGGATTGTCAAAGAATGATTTAAAATTCTATACATTTTGCTGAATCTTTCGCAGCTTTTGTTTTGGCTTCCCACGAAAGCTGGCTTACACGCTCCCAGACCCCAGCCTCAGCCTCCTTCCTTCTCCATCCCTCTACCTCATCACGCCCCAGGTCTACTCAGTCTTCTGGTGCTTAGGCCATGGCAGTTCAAGCGACATGTCACTCATCTCTCTTCGCAGAACGTGCCCAGTCTTCCTCGTTCTTTACATCAATCTCTAAGTATCAAAAGAAAGACATTTAGCTGATCCACTTGCACACTTCATTGACTGATTTTAGTCTTGATTTCTCTAAACTGTTCAGTGCGATTTATGATACATTAAGCATTGCAATTAAATGCGCATGATACATATCTCGTTTAACCCTTTGTCTCCATAAGAGTGGCTGGCTTCTTATTTCTCAATCTGATTGGTAAACAATTTCTCATTGTCCTTACCATAGGAAATGTAGAGAGATGACTGGTAAGAATATGAATACTAGCGTTACAGTGTGTGGGAGATAATCCTCTGTCTCACTAATTCTACGTTGATAATCGCATCAGTTGTCTGCTGATTAATGTCATGATAGGTATTGCTTAATCCATTACTTGAAATGAAACACAGGTAAGATGTTAAACAGATGTAAAGAAAAAAATCACACATGTCTTTCTCGCCAAATGTAATTAAGCAAATAATTAACAGGCAATTTCTGAGCTCTATAGACCTTCATTTTCAAGATAAGGTGAGGAGGTGCATAACCTTTCTTGTGAAAATTAGTCTTTAAGCGTAAAATAGAAATATTATCGTCATTCCAGAGGCTACGCACTTGCCGTAGTTTTGATACAAAGCCTTTAGGCAAAAACTGGCAAAAGAGACTGTACGCAAACTGAAACTCAGAGTACTAAAAATCAAAATTTGTCTCTCTTTACTGCCTAGTCTTTTAGCTTTGATGTCTTAGCCTGCAGAATATGCATAATTTTTAGCGTTTTAAGGCGAATGGAGGGAAGCGCGAGTCACACGCGAGCGAGCGGAGGAGCGTGGAAAAATGATTCCTACCCTTGTGCGTGACCTCCGTTCGCCAGAAAGACAAAGAAAATTACGCCTGCTCTGCGATGAAGCTTATGGATCAGGCTCGACAAATTTCACTCTGAATTTGCGATTCCATTGAAGTTTGTGGCCATCTTAGCAACATGAAATGATTTCGAATTGGCGTTTCCAAATTACTCAGTGAGCTATTTTTAGGGAAAGAATGATACTTTCTAAGCCTTCCGGGGAAAGAATATTCTATACAAGCCCTAAGAAGAACTGCAGAGACTACTTCATAAACGCTCCTTCTAACTTTAAAGATGCTTCGTATCTAGAAGGAATTCTCGACTTGACACTTCTCTTCTTCTTTCTCCGATTTGGGTTTAAGTGTATCTTAATTTCATACCAGTGATTTCGATAATCACATCTTTTATGGCGAAATTTAAAACGAGTGTTTAACTGTACTAAGGAAACAGGGCCTTTTGGCCGGGAATTTTCATCTTACTATCCTATTGGAGAAGTTTGTGTGAGCTATGATATTTATAAAGTGCAAGAGAGGACGATCTTCTTCTGTACAGTATTATATTTTTGTTTAATTTTAATTTTTTATTTTCCTTCGAAAATCAGGAAGGCCTCGTACCCATTTTATAAGGGAAAGGCCCTGGGAACGAGGCTGCAAACCCCTTGCTTAACAAGCTAGAGTGTTAACTTACGGCGATCAAATGTTTTCGATTTTCGTCTTTCCTCGTAGAAAGATCTCTTGATTTGAAACAATTCTTTTGTTATATGAAGGTGAAGGGAAGGTGACATGCAAAACGTCGGATTTACTAATAATAGCTGAGAAACTGGGTGTCAAGGACGGAAAAAGAAATGGGATTAATATCAGTATCTGGGCAACTGCCCACCTACCCCTCCCCTAACTCAACAACAGCCCCTAATCGCTCTGACGAAAGGCTAACGCTCGAAACGTCAGCTTTTCTACCCTTTACGGTGGCTAATTTACGTTTTCAACCCAGTTGTTAATACTAAATTACCTGCTATACTCTCCCACCGACGCAGCACCACAGTTTCTTTAGAAACTTACCCCTTCTTTCAACAACAGTCAAATTGATAACAATTGAGGGTTAATATTGGGTTAGGGGAGGGGTAGGTGGGCAGTTGCTTAGATACTGATATTGATCCAAGAAAGGATTCTGCAGGACAAAAGAGAGGGCCCGAGCTGGATACCCTCAGTGAAACATAGCAAAGATCTTCCTTTCTCTGAGAACTTGAAGGTAAAAATTTGTTACGTTTCAAAAAGCGCTTTGCTCCCACGCCCTTCCGTTGACTTCACCCAGTTCAACTATTTCCACGAGAATCTGCTTTCATTCCAAACAGCCATTGAGTACACTGTCCGTATATTCTCGGGTGGAGTTAATTCCTTGCAAGTTTGGCCTGGCTTACTATTGTTATTACCAGGAAATGACCCGACGTAATTTTTTAACAAGTTTTTGATCCGGAAAGATTTTTTAAGTTTTCTGGAGCCTTCGGTAACGAGCAAATTTTGTCAGCGTGCAGAGGAATGTTAGGAACGTACTCAAAGATTACCAACCACGAAGATCCGAGATAGCGATAGCGTTCGTAAATTTCTTTTTCTCCTTAGCCTTCTGGCCCCGTGCAAGGCAAAACGAGTTAAGTTACGTCCGACTGTGTGGCCTGATGGGCTGTTTGTGTCCTCTCTCTACGCTGAAATTCACTTTTACGGCGAGATTTCCTTGACATCTGTGCGGAAATTTTCGGTCTCATGCTGCAGTTGAGCTTCGTACTTCACTAGTCATTGATTCAGTGATGTACGGTGTTCTCCAACAGCCGGTCAAGAGACCAGGAAAACCAACACCTTTGAATTCCTAAGCTTCATTTTTACTACAATTGCCTGTAAATAGCTTTAAAAAAGAGGAACGGGATTGACATGGAACAAGATCCAAAGGCTGCAAAAACTTCATTTTCCGGGACAAGGTCCCTGTTATTTTGGTGTCGACAACAGACAGAGAGTTACAACGATGTGAATGTGTTTAACATGTCGACTTCATGGCGGGATGGTTTGGCGTTCTGTGCGATTATCCACCGTTACAGGCCGGATTTGATGTAAGCCTAGAGCTTGTAATTGTTAGATGGAAAAATCTTACTGGTCATGGATTTAGGTGCATTCTGTTTGTTACTGACCGGCCAATTGACTCAAGTTGATATGTTTGTCCCGATGAAATGCATTATTGTTTTATTGTTTAACTGAAAATGTTTTTTTTTCAATTACAGAGAGTTCGACAGGCTGTCCAAAGAGAACATCATGGAAAACAATGAGCTTGTAAGTTGTATAATCGTGGGAGGAAACTAAGACAGTCTCTTAGCATCGCTGAAAATAGATTTTTCATGGTACATTGACACTTGTTAAAATTCATGCTCTTGTGTTTCAATTATTTTCCCTTAATGGTGTCATAACAATTAGAATAGATGCTAGAAACAGAGATAAGAAAATGTGCGCTTTATTGAAAAGCTAAACAAATATTGTTGTCAGAGATTTATGTGTCTAATTTCCGGTCGCGGCCTTGCAAAGCGTATAATTTTGACATTCTTGCAGCGAGGTACTAATTTGTCGTGAGGACCTTTTGTTTATAATACACAGACGGTTGGGTTTCATCCTTAGTCATGTCGTTAGCATTGTTCATGAGATCGGAAGGCGTCACGTTATTGAATACATTTTATTTCGCGAGAGAATTGTTGAGTGTTGATATATAGTTGCAAAAATATTTGCACACAGCATCTTTTTGCGTGACGCTTCGGAATGCAAATGTGATCTCTCACTTCCCGGCAGGGTTCTTTAAATTTCTTTATTTTCCGATCGAATTCAATGAAATTTTTAACGTGAAAGAGTTGGTGTCTTGGCCGTAGGCGTTTTGAGCTGCTGGATGTTTGCGCTTTTTGTTTAGATTTTAAGTTATAAAACGTCAGTAGCAATATTGTTGTTCACAAACGAACTCTCAAATCCAACCTTCTTAACCCTTTCAGACATAACAGATTCTATTTTAACAAAGACCTGGAATTTTGCCAGCGGCTCTTTTAATTTTAAGAGACGATCCAGTTCTTATACTTAATGGGATTCCGTGTCAGGTTTTCAGCTTTAAATGTAATTTACGTGTTATTTTAACCTGAGATAGGGATCATCGTGTATATTGGGTTATCTTCTCAACATATTAACAGCCTCTGCCACATCTCAAAGTTTTTTTTATCGCAAATGCCTGCTTTGAATTCCTTCAAATAATTTACTGGAGTGGGCACAGCAATCTGCTTTCAGGATGAATGGTTGCATTCAACTGTGACACAATATTGGCTAGCAATATTATAGCTTGGATCTCATCCAAAGTTGAACTTCTGTTAAGCTCAATGTGATCACAGAATTAAGTTAATCAAAGAGTCAACTCCATTAATTAATGATTAATTTTAACAGGTTATGATTTGGGTCATGACCACCTCTTTTGTTTTTGTTGCACAAACTTGATGCAGTATTCCTCGCAAATTGCTATAGAACAATATCCAAATAGATCATTTTGATATAGGGTTACGATGTTGAAATAGCATTACAGCTGTGAAGTCTCACACATTGAGTGTGAGGCTCACACTAATAAATCCAGTCTCAGGCTCTCACGCTAATATTACTTGTTCTCACACAAGTAAGATTTCCGATTTAAACTGTTGATTTTGAGATAGCAAAGTGCTGCTTTAGTTAAGTACCCATACAATTATCTTTTTAGATATAATTTGTTCCTTTATCCCTTTGTTCTTTGAACACATCCCAGCAATTGGAAATCCTTGTGCAGGGCATCCGTTTCACCAGTCTGTGGTTTTAATTATTAGTGCACATGCTCTCATGTTAGTTCAGGTGGTTTACATGGACTCGCTCTGCACACACTCAGAATAAAGAAATATGTGTCATAGGTACTTCATATTTTCATAATTTTTGGGGCCATTTGAACATTGGTATGCATATTCTCTCTTTTCCCCGCCCTTCAACAGTATGATGCCTGCAGAGTAACAATTAATGGAAATGAGGTAAAAATTCTCACGCTTTGTCAGCAATCTAATTTGAGAGCTCTGCAAATGGTCTGTGGTTAAATCAAGTGGCCTAGTGATAAGGGTCTTCTACTATGGAAAAGGGGTTGATACTGGGTTAGTTCAGTGTGAAGTTTGACCTATTTTAGGGCTTGAAGTGATTTTATAAGCAATACTTTAAATTCTTCACAGGCTTTTAGTGTGGCAGAGAAGCATTTTGGTATTCCAATCGTACTTGATGCAGGTGACATGGTAGAAAATATCATTCCAGATAAATTGAGTGTTATCACCTATGTCTCGCAGCTGTACGAGTACTTCAAGAACAGAACTCCAGGTATGTAGTCTGTCAATTTAAAATCTGTGCCCTTATGCTTCTTAATTGTTCTTAACTCTTTAACTCTTAGAGGTGATGAACATGTATCTTCTCCCTTCAATGTCCATACATTATCCAGCAAACATGTAATGAGAATAAGACTGATAAACCCAATTTGCCAATTTGGTAAACTACCCTGCTGCACATTAAGTCACCAATGTTTTTTGTAGTCACCATGTCAACTTGAATGATTGTAACCTGGATTGCTTAGATTGATGTCAGATTTAACACCATAACATTGATATGCATATTCGCGATGCTGTTCCCCATTCATTTCTTAAGGTGCTGACAAGAAGAATTTGTTTGACAATCTAGAACTTCTTTAGTTGGTGATCATTTCCTCTGTTCTTGTGACCTTAATTTGCAACTCAGGGGTGATATTGTGAGAAGAAATTAGAAGCTAAGTCTTATTAGAAATGCATATGTTTTGCCATAGTCTGAGGAATGTTGATTCAAAAGAGAAGTAAAGACTAGCACTTAGGTCCTCTTCTGTTAAGCACTTTTTTAGACCTTGATATGCTTTGAGGTATTGAAGTTGAAATTTTTTTTCTGTTGATTATAAGCAAACCAGGGCTATTCCACTAAGATGAATATCCAGCCAAAAACACGAAGTGAATCTACAGGTCACAAAGGCAGCAAGCGTATCTCACCTTCCCATCAGATATACCTCTTGTCAGGTCATGCAAAGAGGGTTGCTACAGCCTTGCGGAATGTTTTCAAGTCTGATGCTAAAGAAGAATCAACCAAGAGCAAGGAACAGGGTCAAGGCAGTAAATATTTAAGCGTTGAACCTTTAAGGACAAACCAGGAAACAGTAAGTGTTGATAGTAGTACATGTATTTTTTATAATTATTAGCTAGATTTATATAACAGGAATTTTTTCCTTAAGAAGGTATGCTCTCATTGGTTACTTTGCGCTCTGCAAGTCTTCTTCAGGTAATGAGACCAGCTGGTTACACATCACCTTTTGAAACATCTTGCTTTGATATGATTAGCATATTATTATTATTCCCTCAGATGATCACTGTCATGAACTCTTTTACTCTACAAGGGATTAAAATTTAACTTCTCCCTAAAATACTGATAAATTTTTTAGCAAACAGGTAAAGAGGATACTCAACCATATCAGGTAGAAATTGTTATATGATCTAAAACCAAATTCTTGTTATAAATTTAGGAGGAAATCAGATCTTGAAGTTAAAGGGCTATGATCATCACAGTTCAGTTAACCCCTTAACTCCCATGAGTGACCAAGACATAATTTCTCCTTACAATATCAATACAATATCAAGCAGATAAGTGATGAGAATAAAGAAAAATACCAATTAGGGGATTATAAGTTGATCTAATCCCAAATTCTCCCAACTAACATCACAAGAACTTTATAGCAGACAGTAAGAAGAATTACTAATGAGATCTTGGGAGTTAAAGGGTTTAACAGAAAATAATAATTGATATTCCTTGTATTATTTTTTAGAACAGAAATACTTATGAACTCATCCCAAGTGCACCAGGAAAATCACCATTGCTGGGAAATGATTGTTTTATCTGTCACAGCAGAGTGTTTCTCATGGAAAGGCTGATTGCAGAAAGGAAGCTGTTCCACAGGGCATGCTTCAGATGTGATAAATGTAAAGCCTGCCTTCGACCTGGAACATATCATTACTTTCCTAATACCCAGAAGTTCTGCTGTTTATTTGATTGCCCAGGAGGTACTGAAATTACAATTCTACTACCAAAATTCTCTAACTTATGAATCAAAGCAATCAAGTTTTAATACAAAAGACTGCAGTCAGGAATACTAGTATACTCAGAAAGAAGATGTCAAGCCAACAATAGGATTCTAGTGCATAGCTTTCTACTAAAGTTTTATTTTGGAGGCTCTGGTGTAACTAAGTTGAACCTCTATCTCCTAGAAATGATTAAATAGTAAATTCTCCTTATTATATTCATACATTATCAGCAAACAGGTAATGAGAATACTCAGACTTATCAGGTAGAAGTTGTTATCTTGATCTAACACCAAATACTCATTACTAATTTACAAGGCAATGTGTAGCAGCTTGAGAGGAGAGTTAAAGATCAGATTTTGGAGGATTTTATGGAACAATTTTAATATTACTTGTGTTAATTATGTTTTAGTCTTATATTCTTGCTAGTGGTCAGTTTGTTCAAGGTTTGAAGGAAAGAATATTAAGTGGGGAATACTGACTGATTTAATAACAAATTCTCTTTGCTAAAATTATGAGAAATGGTTAACAGACAGTATGGAGAATTTATATTTATATTTTGTGAGTGAGAGGGTTAAGTCTGAGAGATCTCTTTCTTCTGCTTTACCCAACAGGTCAGAGGGAAAATCCCATAAAAATTAAACTAGAACCCTTAACAAATGCTGCCCAGCAAAAACAAACAGAGGAGGGTCCATCACCTGAATCTTCTCCCAATCTGTCTGATAGCAATTCTACAAAACCATCTGATAAAAGCCCACTTCAGAGACAGTTCTCAGTTGTTAAAAAGAATGCAATAACATTAGCTGCATTGCCACAGCCACTAACCCAAGGGAAACCTCGTGTTATGAAAAGCCAAAAGCAGTCACACTCATCACAGCATTATGACAGGTCACAGGCAAAGAGAATTGAGCATGGTGAGAAAAAACGGCGATTCTCTGGTGGAGGAAGACCCAGGAAAAAACGTGATGGGAAAGGAAGATATTTTGACTCTGAGGAACTGGGTGATCAGGGAAATTCCTCCTGGTCACCAGAAAACAAAAGACGAGCTCCTGATATTAGTCTAGTTGATGATGAAAGTGATAGTGTTAAAAATAGCAGTAGTGAAGTGGTAAGCAAGACCTTGAGTGTGAAGGTACCAGATGATAGTTCAGGAATTTCATTACCAAAGTCTCTTTTTGTATCTGAAGAACAGCAAGAGGAGGAGGAAAAACTTAAACAGAAACCTGATGATCAAAGGTCTACAAAAGAGCCAGAATCGCCTTCTGTGAATCTTCTTTTTTCTTTTAAAGAGGAATTACTGAAGAGGGCAACAGAAGGTAAAATGGATAATGATGATGATAAGGTAGCGAAGGAAGGTGATACTGATTGTGTTACACCAGAATTTTCAAATCAGGAACCGAAGACAAAATTAGGAAACAGCAAAACTGGAGACAGTGATTCATTGGAAAATGAATCTGATAGTCATGTCAGGAACTCAAAAGAAGACAACTTGGAGAAGCCAGATAATCAGCATAAATGTTCAGATTCTAGTGTCCAAAGTGATTCAACTAAGTCAACAAAATCAGTGTCATCACGGAAGACAAGTGTTTCTGAAGAGTCTGATTCTTCAACAGCTGCCAAGGGTGTACAAAGACTGCGGGAAAAGTTTCTGAACATTAATGACATGATTGATGAAAAACACAAGAATAACTTGGCAAAGAAAAGTGTTGAAATTCAGAGAGAACTAAGGTGCGTCTCTGCTTGGAAACAACAGACAGAATCTCATCAAGTTACATCAAGGAAACATTCAATAAGCTCTGGAAAGGCAGCTGAGGTAAAGAAACCAAGCTTTGGTACAAGTCGGCGGAGTGTTAAGGAATTAAGAAAAATGTATATGGACAATGGAAGTAGTGAAAGAAAATCTGTTGGAGGGAAATCAGATATAGTGCCATCAAAATCTGATAATTCCTCCGCAGGAATAGAAACTAAGTCAAATATTACTGTTACAGAAAAAACAGCTGATTTCCCTTCAAGTGAATCCAATGAAAAATCTGATTCTTCTGAGCTTGGAAGTGAAGAAAGTACAGAACAAGCTGATGATCATACAACTGGGTCTAAGGACAACAATAATTCATCTGACTCTAGGGATACTGAATTTGTTACCTTACCTGATACTTCTACAGATAGATTGCAAAGTATAGATGCAAATGACAACATAGTAATAATAAATGTTGATCACACGCAACAAGATGAAAGTGTTTCAAGTGACAGTCAAATTAGTGGAGGGCCACCTTCTACAGAAAATGATTACTCAGAGACTAAGTCTGACCAGGTGTCAAGTGAGGTTCCATCACTTCAAGTTGAACCTGCTAGTCCTCATTCTCCTAATCATGAACAAAATTCTCCAGGGTTAAAAAGACATTCAGCATCCCATGACAGTGGTATTGATATGCCTTTATATACACAAATTAATTTTCAGAGGTCTCTGTCAGCTGATGACAAAATGTCTGCAAGGAATTTGAAAGTTGCAGCAGAATTTTCCTTCTCAGGAAGTGATTCATCTGTGTCACCTACTGAAAAACAACTGCCAAGAGAAAGTTTGAAAGATTTGCAAACTTCAGGTGATCCATCATCACCAGGTATTGGCTATTTGCCTGAGATTCAATGGTCCTTGCCTTTATCAAGTGAACACAGAGCATCTTTTAGTGGCTCTAGTTCATCATGCAGCTCACCTAGAATGTCCATCATCATAGCTCAGGAAGCAGCTACCACCAAAATTAACAGCAGATTTTTCACTGTTGAAACCATGGAACCCTGGGACTTGGAATATCATAGGATTGCAGAGGAGCATCAATGTGTCATGGAAGTTGAGGGAGAATTCTGCTTTGGTAGAGAAAATAGTAAAACCAGCAGAGCAGAAAGAGATGCAATTTTCTCATTGCGGGGTGCTAAGAATCACGGCTGTAACAGTACTGATCTGATTAAGGAGGAAGAAATAACACTTTCTCCTGCAGAGATTGATACTGAATTACAGTCTTTGGAGGCATTACACAGAGAGCTGGAAAGACGGGGAGTGAAAATTGAACACAACTTGAGGGAAAGTATGGACTGTAAGTATGCAATTGTTTCTCCAGCTTGGTTTATACACAAATGCAGAATTTTAAACACCTTACTTCACAATTAAATCATTAAGAAAGATACTTTAAAAATACTGTCTTAATTAAGCTCTATGTGCATGTAATCCTTGTGCAGAAAATTTTGATAGTTGAGATTTTGAACAATATTTTCAAACTATCTCTATAGCTGAAAGACCCTTCAATGATTGTGAGGAAGAACTTCTGAGGGAATGGCTCAGTGTGGTTCATGAAAGAAATGTGATTATGCGAAGGGAGTCAGAACTGATATACCTGTAAGTAACCTTTACAAATTGTACTGTCTCATTCTGTACTATGCAAAACAGAGTTTCTGTTGTTAGTCTTTGAATAACAAATTATAGGCGGTGATGGGGTCATCTTTGCTCTTCTATTCAATATTCTTCCATACCAGCCTTTTAAGAAATAGGAATCATGTAAGTTAAATAGGTTTATGTGATTATGCCTCTTGCCTGGATAAAGGGAAATGATTCAAGTAAAGTACAGGAGTACTGGACCTTAGAACTGTGTTGATATTGCAACTGATAAGGATTTCAGCTGGTAGATTGATAGTTAAAAAAAAAGGTGTTTTTCACTGATAAACTACTTACAGTAAAGTGAATATAGGGGGTAGGTCTCTAAAGAAACTGTGGTGCTGTGTCAGTGGGAGAGTATAACAGGGTAATTTACTACTAACAACTGAGTTGAAAACGTAAATTGGCCACCGTACAGAGTTAAAAGGCTGAATGTTTCAAATGTTAGCCTTTTAATTCTTTACAGGGGCCAATTTACATTTTCAACTCAGTTGTTAACACTTAATAATAGGCCATTTTACAGTTGTGTACTTAGTTGCCAAGCCTTTGATTTGGAGTGAGGCTGAAGGTGACCTTGTTGTGTTAGAGACCTGAATCTAGTTAGCATGATAACAAATTAATTTGCATTTCAAAAGCAGCAAGGTTTGTATCATAACATGGTCACCCTTAGCCTCACTCCTGTTCAAAGGCTTGGCAACCAAGCACACAACTGTAAAATGGACTATTACCTGCTACTTACAGTAAAGTCATCGAAATCCTCAGTAGAGATACTGAAGTATAATAGCTTGGTCTGAGTTTCCATTTAGTTTCTGTTTTTGCTAATTATCAGTTGATAGAGAACTCACATTTAAGTGTATTGAGATACATGAAAGACATGGTGCATGGTGATGATCAAAGGAATATTTCTACTTAGACTCTCCAATAAATTAATGACTTGAAGTTTGGAGAATTCCTACAAAGTATCAATGGCTTTCTTCCCTTGTGTCCTTTTTAGGTTGCAGTCCCATAATTATGAAGAAAGATATCGCACAGTGGAAGGAGAACTTAGAAAATTGGTGGCCATGAGAGGTGAGGGGTTAAGCCTTTTGTGAGCATCAGAGGTAATAGATAGAGCACATTTCCATTGGGTGTCACAAAACCAAAACTAGAGTAGAGACACACTCAGTACACTAACTATTAACAGCATCCCTCAAATAGAGAGGTGAGGCTTGTGGTAAAAGGGAGGGAAGGGTTGTAACTTTGGAGCAAATGTAATGTAAAAGTCTAATTTTGTTTCATCAATAGATGAAGTGAAATCTACTGATGATATGAAGAGAGAGAGAGAATTACTGTCTGAGTTGCTAGAGTTAGTGCAGAAGAGAAGCTTCATTGTTGACAGCCTGGAGGAAGAAAGAGTAAGGTATTTACTTGTCTTTCTGTTTATTAGCTGTTGGATACTATTTGGGCATTGTTTTGAACCAGTGAGATGGTTCTTTAAAAGAGATTGTAAATGTTGGAGGCATCAGATTATAAGTGGACAGATGCAATGGGGAGATTTTCTCAATTAATGTCTGGGCTTTTGGTGGTATTCACTAGATAATTTTGCATCTTTTATGCCACTTTCCAACTGAAAAAAATTGTACATCCTTTTGCAAGCCATTGCAGTTATTTACCCCATTAGTCAGACTATTTTGAAGTTTCAAACACCATCTCCTTGGTTTTCAGATGAAACACAAGACATCTTTTAGGAGTATGCATTTTAGTCACTTGTGGAACAAATGATTTTGTTTTCAAGGATGCACACTTATCCTAGAGTGTAAACAGAGGATTTTGGAGTCTCTGTGATGGTCTATTTTCATACATCATTGCACTAATTTCTCTTTCCCCACTAGAAGAGTGAAAAATTGATGTAGTGCAAATTAATGACTAGGAGTTAATTTGAGTTGTGTGAGCATAACTTGAAAATTATTTTACAGGGAAATCCACGAGGATGAAAAAGTAGAGCGAGCATTGACTGATGGTGAGTACAACTTTCAGAGGATGGTGTTGATGTTGTCCATGGTTGTATAGTTCCACTTACACGTATATTGTACTTGAAAAAGCTTACTTTATTTGTGTTGATTGATATATTACACATAGTAAATGGTTTGAACGCAGAGGTAACATGTAATAGTGTTGTTTGATCATCTGGGTGAGTGAAGTCCTGAGAAAGACTGGTGTTGGTAGTGGTGACTATTTGTGTTCAGTCAGTCTAGTTGTGTTCAGTCAGTCTAGTTGCAAGGTTTCTGCCAGTCTCACGGATGTGGGATTTGTGGCAGTCAGAGCAATTGATCTTATACACTGCTGATTGGTTAGGTGAAGTCTTTCCAACCCAGTGAAATTCTAGAGCATAGCCCAGTTTACAGATCATGAGTAGACTTTAGTTTGCTTGTTCCCTTGAGTGCAGGGCTGAACCTTTGAAAGTAACTTGCTGGCAAATTTTGTTTTCTCTGTTTCCTGGGAAGCTTTTTGGTAGCCATTAACATTGCTAGGTTGAAAGAGGCATTGTGAAATTTAAGTGTCATGTCCATGAACACAGCTTTTAATAATACCCATGATGATGATGGTGATATTATTAGATATTGTTACATTTTGTTCCACACTGACATTTCTTTGTATTTCAAAAGGTATAGCCACAGTGCCTGAAAACAGCTGGAATCAGAGACCAGATTACACCAAAGTTGCATTTTCAAGATTTTATTGCTAGCAGCAGTAGTCTCAAGTGACAATGAATTTTCTTCAGATGCTGATTAAAATGTTTGAGCCTTTTCAAACTGTTGTGTTAACCTCTTTCAGCAGCAAGCACAATCTCAAGCAACGAACTGTAGCAATTAGGCTAACGTTTTAGACTGTTGTCAAAGATTTTAGCAGTTGTAACATCTTTCAATTTTGGTGCATTTTGTATTTTATGGAATTCTCTGATTGATAGCAGAATAATTTTGATTTCAACGGTTGGATAGTTTTGTACTTTAGACATTGACAGGGAGGTGTAGCATCACAGTTCTCATCCAAACACATTTTCTAGTTTCTGGTTTTCAAACTTTTTATTAGGAACAGTTGAGAAGTTGATTTTTTTTGTTCTTTTTGGTGTGAAAGGCTTTCATGTACACTGTGGTCTATGGGGGCTACTTATTTTTATCAAACTTAAGCTGTTTTTAAGAAAAAACCACTCTTAACCATTTAATCCCTGAGTAGCCAGTGTCTAATTTCTCCTTACAATAATACTGGTGAATCATTCATTTAGATCATGAGAATAAAGGAAATGATCACAACCTAAGAAGCTGTGATTGGTAAATGAATTCTCCTTGTCAGTATCAAAGGAAATGTATAGAGAAGAGTAAGAAGAATATGCATACTGATGTTAGGGTGGAAATGCTTAACAATGTTCTATTTAGCCTTTAAGTAGGCCCTCATTATAAATGCTGCAGGATGCACATTTCTCTCCCCACAAGAAGATTTGAGACAAGTCAGGGAGAGGTTTGCCTCATTCTCAGTACTCAATCCCTTGAAGACCTCTTGCCAGCTCCAGTCGCTGAAGGCCTCATACTTTCCTTGTGAACTTGTGCTGAAACGGCCTGCTCACAGGCTATCTCCTATTTGGCCAAATTAAGTGTTTTATCTGAATATTGATTGGTGTGAACATTTCAAAGAAGGCTGGCATCTAACACTTCATAAAATAATCTAATTTTTCACTTCAAACAAACCACTTTTAAAGAAATCTGCTGGTCCATAAGTTGTTTAAACCATAGCTTGAGCCAGACTTCATTTACATGTACATCCTACAAAGTTTCGCATTACCTTTGTGGAGAAGTCAGAACATTTAATCTTGACATAAGTAGATTACTGGTTTAACCAGCATTGCTGAGCTTTGCTTGATATTTCTGTGCTTAGGATGATTATGAGATGGTTACAATATGGATTAAAAAATTATTTAGATTCTTTTTCTTTGCCTTGATGCTTTCAAGAATGTCCCATTTTAATTAATATAAATTACTTTATTCATCAAATTGAGCACTAGGCCCCTATGGTGTCTGGTACATAGCTGCTAAAGGGTCATAGTCTTTGAAAGGGTTGGTTTTACAAGCCTTGGTTAGAGCAAGACAGGATTAAATTTTTGGACTTTATCTTGCATTTAAATGTTTGGACAGCAGGCAGTGATTTTTGACACACCTCCAAATTGCATGTGTGTTCAAAAGTAACAGAAGTGTTGTGAACTTGAGGTTGAAGGGTGATACAAGAAGAACTATTTTTTTGAAAATTAATGTTAGTTTAGGTTAGGTATAACACTAAAAAATGTGTATGATATACATAAATATCTATATCTTACACTAAGAGGTTGACAATATACAGATCAAATAGAACTTTCAATAAAAAATATTTTTACAAGTTGGTGGTACATTCTCTGCTCTTGTTTAGGGTATCACACCATTATTGTTTTTCCATTCAGAAAAAGAACACACTCTGCAAAAATACCCTTCAACTTCATACACAAGTGTGTTTCTTTGTTCAGTTGTCGGACAGGAAAAATATGTTTTGAGTCTGTAAGAAGAGATCAGGGCCACAAATAATACCCACAATTTGGGCCACACTCACAGATACTGGCTCCATAAAATTTTTCAATGCACTAATGGGAACATAGCAGTTTTGCATGAATCCACTCTAAAGATCAGGTAAGAGGAGTTTCTAGAAGCTGAAGCTGAATTTACTCTAGTACCTAAGTGGTGAGAAATAATTTATTTTTAAATATAAAAATGTCTCCACTCTTCACTTGGGCTCTTGCTACTCAGCCAGATTGAGCTCTTTGCTTCTTTCCTTGTCTATAAGTTCAAGCTCCCTTATTTTCTGTAAGTATAAGATTAAAAAAACACAAATACATTATGACACTGCCAGAAGAGATTTGAAATGCTGGAAATGCTAATTTTGACTAAACCACTCTATTAAACCTGCCACAAGTGTTTGATTTATTCCATTCATCCACTAATTTACCTGTGATATCTCTGTCATTATTATGGTTCTATATTTCTTTCCTTCTCCAAGAGCCTCCATCTCATCTAGGAAACTTTTACGATCTTCTATTTCCTGAAGAACTGTACCAGGAAAAACCAACACATTACTAAATGAATGGTTATGAACTACACCACAAACACCCAATGAATCAGAGGATGAGATTTTGGAGAAAAAAATTGTGGTGATTGTGGTCAACTACAATTTACATAAAATAAACTCAGATGTGAAGATATATACAGAAACAATCTTTTTAAAACAATTATTATCATGTTAACCCTCTAGATTGCTCTGAATATGAGAGTAGACAGCCAACAGGAGTCCAAGAATGCTGTTATTCATTTGTTTTTTTGTTTTTTTGTTTTCTATTTTAATCAACATCTGTCAACATTTAGGGTGTGCTTACTCTCATCAAATCTATCAACTTCTTTTTCTGGTGCCATTTCTTTGGGTGGTGGTCTTCTCTGTGTTGGAACATCTTCTATGTCCTTCCCATGCTCGCCATATGCCATCACATTCTGAAGTCTCCTTTTATCTTTCTCTGAAATCAATTCTAGAAAAAAAAATTATCATTTTTAATTGGACCCAGAATAAGAGGTTGAGTCCTCCACTGAATTTCAAGATCAACTTGGGTCAGCCACTTTCATGTAAGACTTAACCCTTTAACTCCCAAGATCTGATTGTTAATTCTCACCTGTGGCTGCTACACATTTCCTTGTAAATTAGTTATGAGAACTTAGTGCAAGATCAAGATAGCAGCTTCTACCTGACAAGTTTGAATATTCTCATAACCTGTTGGCTGAAGAATGTATGGATATTGTAGGGAGAAGTTTTATGTTAATCACTTCTGGGAGTTAAAGGGTTAAGGGAACTTGCCTGATTAGGACAATTTCCTCCTGCTTGACCCTAACCTTTATTTTCTGACTAATGTCAGCTGAAAATTTATCCTTAAACGAACTGAAGAAAATTAGTTTCTGGTTGGGAAACAAGCCCACAGAGAAGCTCCTTGTTTGTTTTCTTATAGATGGCCAAGGCTTTTACAACAAGCCAGCAAGTAAGAGAGGGAATGATGCTTCATTTAACCTAATCTTACCCATTCATTACTACTAGCTTTACTTCGGACAAGAAATCTAGACAGCCTGCTCAGAAGAATGGCAAGGTTAACAAGTCTAGGAAAAGACTGCCAAGAACAAAGAGCAAGTTGAACATACTTCCTGGAGCTGGTCGATAAATCTGCTGTGGTTCCACACTCTTTTGTATATCAATTGTCTCCTTTGTCTTCTTTCCTCCTGAAAGGTGTCTTGCATTCATCACTTTAGGTAATGGTTTTTTGGATGCACTTGTTAGTTGTACTCTGCTTTCATTTCTACTTGTTGTGGGGTTACAGGCAACAGGTAGAGATTGACCCTCTAAAAAATTACACAAATACAGAGATAAGTTCTTAAAAATTTGAAAGACCTTTTCCATTCCATTGATGAAATTAACCTTCTGACTATCATGATCTGATTTAAAACTCTCCCTGTTAGTAACTATACATTTATTTCTAACCAAGTTAGGAGAATTCAGTCATTGTTATAGGATGTGTAGGTGACTGTGTGGTACCTTAACCCTTTACACCCTAACATCAGTATGCTTATTCTCCATACTGTAATCTATAAATTTCCCATGGTACACAAAAAGAGAATTTCCTTAACAATCAAGAATTTCTTTGGTTATTGATCATTTCCTCTATTCTCATGACCTTTATATTTGATTTAGTGGTGACACTGTAAGGAGAAATAAGATCCTGGTCACTCTTGGGGGTTGATGGATTGACATGAATTCCTCTAGCTGATCAGTTTGTAATAATTAATCATCACCTGATTAATGTATTGACAATGAAATATGAAGTTGTATGTTACTTGCATCTGGGAGCAAACAAACTTAAGCTTGAAATTAAAAATACCGTCATTGAAAGAAAAATATATACAGAAATAACAAACAACTACCTTAAGAACTACCAACTACCCTACAATATTCATGCTCTATCCAGCAAACAGGTAATGGGAATATTCAAATGTATCAGGTGGAGGTTGTTATCTTGATCTAACACCAAATTCTTGCAACTAATTTACAGGGAAATGTTGAGCAGGTAGAGGGGAGAATTAACAATCAGATCTTGAGAGATAAAGGGTTTAGAGTTTTTTAAACGCCAAAGAAAATCTTGAAAGCATCGGATAAGATATCTTGATCACATACGACTTGTAGAACGTAAACTCATAAAAATTTAAAGGAGGAAAACACCTTGATATATCTGCCTGGAGACAACACTCACTTTTCATGCTGTCTTGCAACTGTCTTCGTTGAAAGTTCGTCAACTTCGATTCTTCCATCATAACTGTCAAAGAAGAGTCTCGGTCATGAAATGACAACAGAAGTTTTAAAATCTTTTAGGACATTCTCTGATAAGATTTTAACTACCTTTTAACAGATTTTGAGTCTCCTTGCTGACTGGAGCTGACTGTGATGACCACAATCCACCTTTAGCAACTGGTTGTCTGTTCGACGCCATGTTTGTTTCTGTTGTTTCTAAGTGAGTCCGCATGCACTGCTAACTAGCGGTATCTAAATTTCGTCACGCGTATCATAATGTCTTCGAAAATATGGCGCGAAGCTCCACGAAACAATGTTTATCTCAGAGGACGAATTTACGCAAGCTATTTTAAATCTTTGAGGGAAAAGAAAATGAACGAAACTGAGGAAGGGAATTAAAAAGGAAATCGAAGATGTCAAAATGTGAGTTAGACGGAGTGCTTTGTTTTCATCGAGCTTGAATAACTGGTTTATTTTATTTTATCCTGCTCTGTGACGTGTGGAGGAAGAGAAAGTTACCAATTTTATTTATCCTTAGACCTTCAGGTTTGACACTTCTATAAACAATCACTGGAATTATGTTACTCAAAAAATTTGCTTACTCATCTTCTATCTCTTAGTTTGGCAACATCCGAATGTGAATCTGTTTAAACATTTTAACATTGGAGAATGGAAGAAGTGCTCCAAGGAAGGAGAAGTCTCAACTATTATGGTCAGCCAAACATTTAAAAAATAGTGATAACGTATAGAAGTAACTCTCTTCTTTTCTTTCCTTCCCTTTTCTTCAAGATAGGAATTGTTATCTGATTTCTCTAAATGCAAGCTAAACATATGTATCAGAATACCAATTTTTAAATGTAGTTTGCCTGTTTAAGCTTACATTCATGTTAATCAAGCTCCCTCATCGCTGATAAAAGGTTGCCAGGACTCAAGGCTAATGGTAGCAACCTAGCAACAGTCTAGTGACAGTTCAGTTTTGGTTGTTACATTATGCACTTTCAAAAGCCATTGGGGCTAGTGACAGTCATGAGGGGGAGACTACTGGATAGAAACAAAATTGAGAGAATTGCCCAGGAGAAAATATAAACCAATGAAAACAGGAATTGTGGGGGGAACTCACGAAACTAACTGGAATTAAGGAAAAATGTCCAAGATCAACCAAGTCAGTGAGACTTTGCAAAAAGGACTGTTTCATGCAAATTTAGTTTTGGCCAGCAAAATGAGACCTGACTTCCAGAAGTGATCAACATGAAACTTCTTCCTATAATATCCTTACATTATCCAGCAAACAGCTAATGAGAATATTCAACTTATCAGTTAGAAGTTGTTGTCTTGACCTAACACCAAATTCTCATAACTAATTTACAAGGATTCGTATAGCAGCTAGAGGGGAGAATTACCAATCAGATCTTGGGAGTTAAAGGGTTAACCAATAGGATAGTGCACAAATAAGTTGGTCAAGAGTCCTTCTTTTCATGAAGGTTCTCATCTGTTTATGTGAAACTACTGTATAATGCCTTTTGTTCTCAGGACAAACAGGTGAAAGGCACAGTTTATAGAATCACTGGATCAATTCCTGCCAGCAACTTCATTCAGTTCCCTCGCACCAGCACTCAGTCATTAGGGTTGACTGGTAGATTTTTGTACTGCCTATTCCGTCCGATTGCTGGAAAGTACTTTGTTGTCCATGTGGATTTAGCAACAGATGATGGACTTACCATTAGGATTTCCTTCTCAAATATGTTCAAAGAGTTCAAGTCCACCTCAACATGGCTACAGTTTCCATTTGTCTCCAGCCCTCCTCCTGGTTCAGTGGATGAAGCTACTCTCAGTGAAGCGGGCACCATAACAAGTGAGGATTGTGTTAGCATCAGTTGGTATAACTAAATGTAACCAGACATAACCTTTTTTGGGCAATGAGTTTATTAGTTTGGAAAAGAACTGTCATGTTAGATTGGTGGGTTAGTGAATACATATAGGTGGTTATTATCAGCCACAAATTGATAAAGGTCAGTTAAGAGACATGGTAAATTTTGAAAAGCTGTCATTTTAAGCTCTATAAACCCTTTAACCTCTAAGAGTGACAAGCATTTAATTTCTCCTTACAATATCACCCTTGAATCAACCATTAAGGTCATGAGAATAGAAGAAATGATCACCAACTAAAGCAGCTGTTGATTATTAAACAAATTCTCTTTGTCAGCACCTTAGGAAATGTATAGTGAATAGTAAGGAGAAAATGGATACTGATGTTAGGGGTTAAAGGGTTAACCCTTCACTGAAGCAAATAGGTAACTGGTGGGTTTTGTGTATGTTGATATAATAGAAATAAGACTGAGTGTAGTACAATTTTAGACATTTATTGACTAGGCTTGGTATTCCTTCTGTTCGTTTTTCTCCATCAGGTCTTGTGGGCACCACTTCTCAAACAACTCGCTGGACTGTTCTGGTGCTAGACTTTCGATACATCCTTTCTGTCTACCTGAACCGCCAATATTCTTACATGAAAAGCATTCGCTTGTGTGCCAACATGTTTCTCAAAGGACTCTTTACAAGTGACATAGATTACGCACCTGGTATTTCTGCTTCTGAAGCCAGAAAACTAGGCTTGTTGGATAAAGGAATCAGTCCTTTGCCAAGAGAAATGGCATTTCCTTTAGCCAAGGGAGCAGATTGGGACCAGTTATATGACTACATCAAGTTCCCTCCTGATTCCAAAATTGCACAATTTGGAATCATGGCAAATATGAAGTCTACATTACAACATGCCAATGGGGAGCAACCCCCAACCACTGCAAAGGAAGAAAGACAGACCAGAGTAAATCATGTCAGTCAGGTTGGTTCATCGGCAAAACTTTCCCAAGAAACATCTCAACACTCAAGAGGTGACGTAAAGGTATGGAATATGCTGTGTACAATAAGCACTTAATGACTGGTTTCAGAGTAAACAAAATTCAGTGTTTCCTAGGGGGGGCCAGTCATCAAGTGATTTGTAATATATCCCAACTCAAAAATAGAACAAATTATACATGTTTGCCTTCCCAAGCTTTTCCAATTCTATAGTGACTGTCACAGTTGAAACCACTTCATTGGCCAAATAAAATGCTTCATCCTCATTGGTTTTAAACCTTTTTTCTCTTACAAGTATCTGGCAATAGCATAGTATATCCTTGCCATAGAACTCTTGGATGAAATGAGCTATCACATTGTTGAGCACTATTATTGAATCTCCTGAGAAGGGACTTGAGGTCTGTTTAGTTTAAATCTCCAAAGAAGTCTCTCAACGTTTTCACATTATTTCACAAGTTGGCCTTGTTAGTAAATTTCAAGCTTTTTTTCCCAAAAAAGCTGATAACCTGATCAGGTATGGGGTTAAACTTTAAGCTGTTGTTTTCCCAGGGAGTTACTGAGTTATGTTTGTGCCTTAAGGGTAAATGAGTCTTGACCCATGCCACACCACGCAGTCTCCTCCAATCTTAAAACTTATTTGAGTTGGCAGATACATTAACAATACATTCTACAAGGATGATAATGGATTGTTAAGTATTCACCTCATCATTAGACTCGTTAGGAAACTTTGTCATTAATTTTTGAGAACAGTGAATACTTTCAGAATAAGGTTATTATTTTTTACCACCAACTGTATATTTTTACAGACACGTCAAGCAGTAACCTCAAGGATAGCATTAGTGGACAGACTTAATCCACACAAGCAACACCCAAAAAAACGCAAACACATTGTTCCTACTGCCCTACCAGCAGTAGGAATCCAAGGAGCACAAGTGGCAGATCCAAATTTTGGTGAAGTACATGTCTATGCCCATCCAAATAAATCTGTCACTAATCTTCAACAATGGAAAGAACCAGATAAGGTCCAACAGGTAAACATTGTATAATTGGAGAGGTTCAATTTATTTTCTCTGAAATAAAACTGGCTATCTTTGATCCTTCTTTCTTACATTTGATTCTGATTTTAGTTAGAAAGAATGGAAATACCAAAGGCTTCTAGGGCAGGAAACTTCACGGTGAGAAAGAGTGAATCATTTGAATTATAAAAATACAAGTTAATCCTTTACACTCTAGGATCAGTTTGCAAGTTCTCCATACTGTTTTCTTGACACTTCCTATTCTATTATTGTTATTCTGAAGAGTCTTGCAGCAGTTATCACAAACACTCAAGTCAAATAATTTGTGACGGTTTGCATAATAATGCTTTTATCTCATCCCCAGTTCAAAGAGCTTACTGCTCCTTCATGGATCTGCTTTTCATAACTTACATTTATTTATATTCTTTTCAGACGCTCAAACCAGATCCCATTCTGTCTCTGAAAAGAGTTGTGGGGTTTGGAGGTGGCACCTACAATGAGGTACATGCAATGCTTTACCAAAGATTTCTATATTCATGTGGCTTGTGTGCTGGACTCTAGATCTAGAGAACTAGGCCCATGCAGTTGTTCAATAAGGGTATAAAGCTATCCAATTGATAAATTGCTATCCGGTAGATAAGTGTTAAAAAAAAGTTCCACACCATCAGATTGAGATGTAACCCTTGGATGGCATTATCCAGCCTTTGACCAACTCAGGTCTTTGCTCAAGCTATGGCCAGATCATAGGGCTGTATGCATCAATGAGAACCTCAGCTCTCACCATACCTCTCTTTACCTAGGAGTGTAGAGTGTAGTGGTAAGCTGTTAACCCTTTAACTCCCAGAAGTGATCAACATGAAACTTCTCCCTATAATATCCAACAATATTCAGCAAACAGGTAATGAGAATATTCAAACTTATAGGTATAAGCTGCTATCTGGATCTAGCACCAAGTGCTCATAACTAATTGACAAGGAAATGTGTAGCAGCCAGAGGGGAGAATTAACCATCAGATCTTGGGAGTTAAAGGGTGAAGGGAAACTTGATAGAATGCTAGTAGATGACTTGCCATGGACAAGCACCCCCCCCCCCCCCCCCCCCAGAAGGAGTAACAATGCTTGAAGTCTCTTGTCTCCTGAAACTAGAGAATCCAGAATAATTTCAGGCAATTAGGTTGGAAAAAATATGCAAAAAGAAAATTGTATGACTTGCTGGAATTTCTTTTTTATTTAAGGCTTTGTGGACAAAGAATGGTTCTTGCATAGTGTACCCATGTCATGCAATCATTGTAGCGATAGATGTGTCATCTGGACAACAACAGTTTTTTATGGGTCACACAGACAAGGTAACTGTCACTATGAATAAATGTACTAAACTTGTGAACATTTTTTTGAAAATGCAAAGTTTGACATTTTTTTAAAGCCAAAGATGCAGAAGAGCTGGTAAAAAAAAGAATCTTACAACAAAATTTAGTGAAAAGTGGTTTTAAAGTCAAAGGATTAAAAAATATATAAAAAGGTTTGGACATCTTGGAAGAAATACTTGACAAAATATCTAGTGAAAAAACGGAACAAAAAAATTTGATTAAGGTTGGAAAATGCTTTGAGATAAAATACAATTCTAGTGAACTGGTCTTGGGAAATCTCAGCTCCTCAAAAACAAATCAAATAGAGTGGCAATTGAAGCTTAAAGAAAAAAGAGAAAACAGCCATTTTTATTTACCTAATATTTGATAGTGTTCATGTAAAGAGAATTTAAATTATAACAATGACTATGTCACCAATACCTTTCAGGTTTCAGCCCTGGCCTTTGATGGTCAAAGAGATATTTTAGCTTCAGCCCAGACTGGATCTCCTTCTGTTATCAGAATATGGAAGTACCATTCACAAAAGTGCACCGCAATGTTTCGAGCCGAAGTGCATGATGTGCACTGTATAAGGTAGGTGTGGTTATAAATGTTCTTTTGAAAACCTTCAGGGCCAGCCTTAACTGTTGTTTAACAAAAGCCATGTTCTTAACTATCCCTAGCTGAATCTTTTATCTGAACATTTATTTTTGTAGTAGTAGTTTAAGGACATTTAATATTTAATTAAAACAACCCTCTTACAGAGGATGAATAAGGCCCACTGTTTGCATAAAACTGCAGTTTGGGTTAAACCTTGGATAAATGACTAGCCCTCAAATGGTAGTAATGGCACCATTCCTAACAAGTATCTATAGTATCACTTGTCCAAGAGATTTCATTAATCCTACCAAATAATGGGCCTTTCTTACAATTGAAAGTTCTCTTGCTTTTTCATCCAAACAGAGAAATAAACCTCCTTACTTGAATGATCACGCCAAGTTTAGTAATTCTGCAAGTTTCATTTTAAATTTGTGGCAAACTTATTAAATTAACTTTATGAATTATTTCTTGTTTTAAGTCTTTCATACAGTGGCAACATTTTATGTGGTGTTGGAAAAGACAACCTTGGAAAGCAGGTATAGTTGTTTCACTTAAATCTAGTAGCTTGGTAAGGAAAACTTGACTGATTGTTTATTTACAATATGTTAAAGGAGTTACAGTGTATCTTTGGTATTTCTCCACCCTTAGTAGCCATTGTTAAACAAGGAACATTACCATTAATCAAAAAAGAATGTGAACTTACTTTTCGTTACCTTTGCCTCATGTAGCTGATTGTGGTTTGGGATATCAGTCATGCTATCAGAGGTGGAGAAGTTTCCATTATTGCCAAAGCACACACTGATATTGATATTCAGCGCATGAGAATTGCAGAGTTTGATGACAGCAGGTACTGATTACAGTGTTAGAAGAACTGAGAATAGGCATGTATTGCCATCTTATTTACAAGGGTGGGGAATACTACAAGAAAATTTGGTCTTAGAACAGAACATATTATTTCTAAGGACATTTGCTTGGGTGTTTCATTTTGGCCAGTATTTAAGGTGGTGAGATAGTTAGAAGATTACAGAATAAAACCACATCCACCATGGAAATATGTCCTCCATAGAATAACTTTTTCTTCCTAATTGTTTGCATATTAATTTTTTTAGCATCCAAAATCACTTTCAATATTGTTGAGTATTCAGACTGTCTTTCATATTGATGATACATTTTACTAATTCAATATACTCTGGTCTACATGGAAAATCTCTGTCTGCCTTGCATTTGCTTTTGTTCCAAACAGCTGGAACAGCCTTTTTAGCAATTCATGTAACACAATTATACTGATTTACTTTACTTTAGGATTCCTGGGTTTTGTCTCGAATTTATTCTATAAGGTTTAGTTTGTATTCTACTAATGCTTGAATGTATCACTGACATGCAACATGTATTTTTAACTACTGTCTTTCTTGTTAAGGTTGATTTCTTGTGGTAATGACAACATTCGTTTCTGGCGAATTCGCCATGGTTCTTTGAGGTCTTGTCCAGTAGATCTTGGTCGTCAAGGCTTGGTTCATTTCACTGATATAGCTTATGGAGCCAAAAATCCCACAAGTGCAGATCCTACAGTTAGAAAAGTGTAAGAAAAGGATATTGCTGTGGCAAATTTGTATCTTAAATTGTAGTATAAAACAGTTATACTTATACTTGGGATAGCTCAACTTGCAAGTACTCTGAGAAAGAAAGAAATTTCATCTAGTGTGACCCTATATTAAATTTGAAGAAATTTTAAAACATTTTACCTCTCTCATTAGTACAAGCACATTCAGGAAAAAGGTGACATGAATGGATAAACTATTGGGCAATGTAAAACCAAACATCTTAAACCACTTTACAAGGAAATTTATGGCAGTTATAGGGGGAAGAATTTTGATTCAATTCATGCCATATTTTTATAAATTTTTTTAACAATAGATATGCTATATTGATCAATGAACCCCACTCTACCATCTGTCACTATGAGTTTTATTTTTTAAAGTTGTATGTGTTAACCCTGTAACTCCCATGAGTGACCAAGGCAGAATTTCCTCTTACAATGTTAATACAATAATAAGTGGGCAAGTGATGAAAATGAAGAAAAATATTAATTAGAGGGGGTTATTAGTCTATCCAATACCAAACTCTCAAAACTAAAATCACAAGAATTGCATGGCAGACAGTAAGGAGAATTACTAAGTGAGATTTTGGGAGTGAAATGGTTACGTGTTGTTCATTTTCTACAGTGTCCCATGTATTGGTAGTGGTTACTTGATTCTTAGGGCATTTCTTAAGAGAAGATTCCAGTATTTCACATTAAAAACTACCTGCCTTTCCAAGTAGCTAATTCATTAAGATCCAAAACAAACAAACAAAAAAACAAAAAAACAAAAAAAAAGGTGCCATGATCATTGATATTTAATCATGTTTTCCTTTACAGCTATTCCTGTACAAACCAAGGGACAATTTATCAGATTGACTATCAGAAGATCATGCTGGACAAAGTAATCAGACTTCTTCCTATTGGTTCTCGTAGCAACCTAGTTGGCAAGTATGGTGGTACAACTCCAACTGAGTTTGGAATTAGACTCAATTCACTCTATGTAAATGAGTCATTTTGTGCCACTGGCTCAGATGATGGTTTCCTTCGGTTGTGGCCTTTAGATTTTTCCACTGTGTTCCTTGAAGCTGGTAAGTATCATGTTTTAAATATCAAATTCCAGTTCAAGTCTATCAGCAATTTTAACTAAGATCTAATGGGCAAGTAACTATAACTGCCTACCAGTGAATGCTGATCAAAGGGGGGAATCAGTCCATGAGAGCCACAAGTTTATCAGTATTTTATGCTGTCAGGTGCCACCCTTGAAAAATAAAGTTTATTGTTATTATTATTATTATTATTATTATTATTATTATTATTATTATTATTATTATTATTATTATTATTATTATTACCAGGCTAGAACAGTTTGCAAACAAAATGAAAGAGACACAGTAGTAGCATGGTTGACTCTATTTCGTATTAGTTGGGTGTGAGCCAGTGCTTGGGTCATTGTGTTTTCTGCTGTGGTCTTGGGGAAGATACTTTGCTCATGCAATACCTCCTCCCACACAGGAGTAGGATCAGATGCTAGGAAATTGTCAGTGAAATATGATGGCCAGGCTTTGTAGCTCAACTGGTAGTAGCACCCACTTAGTATCTGGGAAGCATGTGTTGGAATCCCATTGAAGCCTAAACTGTTTCAGGCTTCTTTTCTGCAATTGCTAAAATTGCAGCTCACTTCCCAGGAGCATTTCTTTACTGAACAATGGTATTTGCATAACTCCTTGGTAGCTGGGGTACTTGCAGTGTGGGCAACTTTTTATTTGTGCAGGTGACTTAACTACCAACAATAGTTTCTGAAAGAGTTAATTAATAAATAATGCTGTTTTGTTTAAGAACACGAGGGCCCAATCACAGCTGTTAACATCTCTAGTGATGGACTTAATGTGTTAGCAGGAACAAACACGGTAAATTATAGCGCTTGCTATTGTGTACTGATAACAAAAGTTCCATTAGGCAACAGGCGTTTTTTGTGTATCCAACTCGGAGAATAATGATTTTGTGTATCCAACTTGGAGAAAAAAGATATCTTATGCAAATGGTCTCTGTTTGATTAATGTAGAATATCAAGACTTGTAATTTTGAACATTTGCTGAGCTCAGTCTTTTCATATTGCCAAACAGTTGTTATTCATTGGCAAGAAACTGTCAGTAAATGCTCAGTCAGTGATGACCTATCAATAGCATTCATTCTGAATTTAAAATTTCTTTTCTTCTCTCTTGTAAACACTAATTTGCATTGTTCTCTTACACCTTTCAGGGTAATCTTGGTGTATTAAATACATCAACCCGCACCTACTCCACACTGATGAGATCTCATACGCAAAAGATCTCAGCCATGTCATTTGATTCCACTCACCGTTATCTGGCCACAGTGTCCTTTGATGAATCAATACGAGTCTGGGATCTTGACACTCTTGCACAGCTGTTTGACTTTCAAGCTCCTGGTGAGCTCCCCTGTGCCATTGCATATCACCCTCAGCAGCAGTGCTTTGCCTGTGGGTTTATGTCAGGATGTGTAAGAGTGTTCCATGTCGGGACAACAAATCTGCTAGCTGAACATAACCAGCATGCTGGCCAAGTGACAGGCTTGGTGTTTACACCTAATGGAGAATTCATGCACAGTGCAGGGTCACTAGGTAATATAGCAAGTACATTCCACTATCCATACCCTGCATCAATACAGTATAAATTAAGAGAAAGATGTTTTTCATCTTGTCATAAGCATGGGACAAAGAAAAAATTCTGAGTCCCCATGAGGAATCAAACCTCAGACCTTTGGATTCTGTGTCTCGATACTCTACCACTGAGCCATGGAGACTCTATGGTGAGCAAGGCCCATTACGAAGTTCTCATTGCTGATCCTGCATACTGTTAGTTTTTAATGGTATCTCTTGCTTTAACCATTTTCCTCTTTCATGCTTGGCAAATTTAAGTGCTTGTTCTTGTGTTCTGTCTAGTGCTCTTAGATCCCTCCGGATGTCTTTTGGGTTTCTTTTGTTGTTTTTGATGGATTCACAGCTTGAAAAAAAAAGTCTCAACAGCAAGTTTTTCTTTTAATCCTCAGGTTCTCTTTCATTATATGATGCTGCTGATGAAGAATTCCGGTTGATTCGCATGTTACCCAACACAGTTGCAGCAGGTGCTAAATTTGGATCCCATGTACTGAGTGTAAGTGAAGACAGCCTGAAGTTGGCATTTATTGGACCCTCTGAATACACAGTGACAGTTGCCAATGCCAGATCTCTGGATGAGGTGAGGCTCATCTCATTTTTTCAGTTTCATATCATGTAGTTTCTGAGTGGGAGGGTTGGGGGGAAAATATTTGACTATCAGTCATGGTGCACAGACAGAGCACAGCAAGATCCAATCATTGTGACCAAGAGCCAGAATTTCCTCTCTACAGTGAACTAACTTGATAATAAGCATTTTATGTTAGGAATGCCTTTCTTTCTTTCTGTCTCTCTTTCTTTCCTTCTTTCTTTCTCTCTAATTTTCCTCCTGCATTTTACCTCTTTCAAGGTTGTGTGGACAGGCATACATTTTTTTTTGGTAGTGCTTGTATCACATCCACTCATCTACCAGGATTATTTCTTGCAATGTTTCTCAATGAATTGTACAATCAGTTCTACTTTAGATTGATCAATGATCTTTTATGACAGGTTTTACGCATTGACATCAGCACCATCACTGCAGACCGATCAGTTGTGGACTCTGCACTCCATGTCTGTTTTTCTTCATCATCTCTAAAACAGTTATTGGTAATCACTTCAACATCAAGGTTGCTGAAGCTTGACTCTCACAATGGACTCTTGTTAAGCGAGGTTGGTACTTACAGCAGTCTTCAGTGTAATGTTGAAAATAATATGGGATTGCATAGGTTTTACTTTACTTTAAACTGTGATTAGTGTAGAAAAGTTACATCACCGTCTCAACCAGTCAGATGCAAAATTAAGCTTATCACCATTGGGTGGGTTGTATTTTTCCATTGTCAGCCTTCTAGGTGGTTGTTCTTCTTCTTTAACCCTTTACACTGTAATGTCAGTCTTCATAATTTCTTAAGGTACAGAGTAGGAGAATTTGTTTAACAATTAAGGGCTTCTTTTGATTAGTTAGAGATCATTTCCTATATTCCTGAGACCATAATGTGTGATTCTGAGGTGATATTGTATGGAGAATTAGATGCCAGTCCAGACTGACTCTATACTATATTTCCTTTCCGATTGTCAGTTATGATGACTTTCAGCTTTGTTTTGCAACACTCAATCAAAGTGCATGCTATTTATAAAGGCTTATTTAGGAGAATTTTCTGTTTGTATTAACAATCTCTAGGCAGTAAAATGCACTTTGCTATTGTTGAACTCTAGATCACATTCTCTTAACCCTTTAACTCCCAGAAGTGATTAACATGAAACTTCTCCCTACAATATCCATACATTATTCAGCAAACAGGAAATGAGAATATTCAAACTTATCAGGTAGAAGCTGCTATCTTGATCCAGCATCAAGTTCTCATAACTAATTTACAAGGAAATGTTTAGCAGCTAGAGGAGAGAATTAACAATCAGATCTTGGGAGTTACAGGGTTAACCCCAAAAGGTTTGAGTAGTTGTAAAGGCATAACTGGTCAGTTCCTCCTCAGCTAAGAAGAATACTGATTTGATGTGAGAAACATAGCAGGCCCTTAAATTAAAAATGTTACTGGTGAAGACTAACACTTGTAAAGATGAAGTTCCACGTCCTTTGCAACACTAATTTAGTTATACCTTTCAGGTTTCCAATATTCATCGTGGTAACTGTTCAAGTTTAGCTGTGAGCCGTGATGGGAAATATCTGGCCACTGCTGGAGACAAAGTTGTAAAGATTTGGGATTATCATATGCGACTGGACATTAACTTTCAGGTAGTTCCACTTGGTTGGAAAGAAACCTCACATACAGCTAAAATTTTGGGATTGGGTTGAAATCTTGCGTGTTTAGTACTTTTCCTTGTCATCAAGGGATGAAGAAAAGATCCTTGATTGGCTGGGAAACCTTGACTCATCATACAGAAAAGTTTGCATATTTCATGATCTCTGTATCATTCCAACTTCAACAGGAAATCACAATCAAAAGTCTTTTTTTCGATTTTTTAAATAGGTCTTTATTGGCCATTCAGATCACATTCAGCAAGTTGCTTTCACTCCAGATAATCTTGGGCTAATTAGTGTAGGAGAGGCCATTTTGTTATGGGATTTTCATGGAAGAGTGAGGCAGACACAAGTGAATGGGTAAGTTTTTTTCCATCAAAAAGCAGGATAATTATTTGTATATTGGCAAACATAATACATATGAATAAGAACAGTTTTTAAATCCTCTTGCCTGGAATTTGAAAACAGTGTCAAACAGTTTTTATGATAACACCAGCATGAATTACCTTGAATGAATATATATATTTTTTTCTAATTATTTCAGTTGATACAAGTATGTAACCTTAGGGTCATGCAAAACATTGTGGGTCTTCCATGTTCATTTATGTTGTACAATAGATTTCCTCAGAATATTAAAACTCATTCAAATTGGATGAATTGCATGTTAATTACGGTAACGATTACTGATTTGGTGATTACCTTCCAGAGGACGCAACCCACAGAAAAGTTACATTCCTGAACTAGCAGGTATTGTTGAATGACATCCTTATAAATATTTCCCAAGAAAAAAAGTAAGACATACCTTAAGACTAACCAATTAAACTGTCCTTATTTTTGTCATATGTAAGCAGAAAAAAGTGTGAAAATCACTCCTGAAAGACCATATAGTCCACCAAATGGTCATCCTAACACAGTCATCCCAAGAAAATCAGTTCCAGTACCAACTAAATATGAACCTCCTCAGTTTGACATCAGCCCAATTCCTGCTGATGTGCATGACAGCGAAAATGTTCGTGGTACCCTTGATAGAGTGCTGCAGAGTGAAGTTCATGATAGTTACTCTCCAGAGAAAAGCAAAAGCCCCCAAAAACAAGCTTTGCTCAACACTGGTGAATCTGTAAGAATGAAGTTTTCATTTACAATTTTCTTATTTTAAATTAAATTACTTGTTGATTTGTTTTTTTTGTTGTTGCTCTGTACTGTGTGTATCATTGGTGAAATGACTCACTCACCCCATGTTTTGCATCACATTGTTTCCTAGGGCTCCCCCGTCAAGACTAAATCTCCTGCCAGAAGATTGAACTTCAATGTTCCCCCACCGGGTGGATCAAGAGTAGTAAACAGTGATGACCATCCTGTCCCTAAGGTCACTAGACACTACAGGTGCCGTGCAAGGACTTCCTCCTTGGCCGACCGCAGATACACAGCTCCTCCAAACCAAGCAGGACTCCAGCTAAAATCTGTTCTTGGATACAATGGGAATGGAAGGAAGAATTTGGTGTGGAAATATGACACAGGTATTTTTACAGTGAGATAATAGACGAACTTCATAGACAGGTTATTATATTATGAAATTTATGTTTAGCCTGAAGATCTTCACTATCTTCTTTTCAATTTTTTTTTAATATGAAATATCAAAGGAAGATTCAAGATACAACATGGAGTCTGGAGAAATAGGAAGAATGTCTTGAATGTTAATTTTTCTACTTTTCTGTCAATAAATGATCTTTGGTGTAAGTGAAAATAGTTTTGCACCATCTGTAAAATATTGGCACAAATAAAAGTACATTGTTAGTAAATCAACAGCAAAAGGTTTTTAAGACTGGATAATATCCTCCAGTTGTTAACTTTTTTAGTTACTCATCACCAGTATTGAAATGTTTAGGGGAATGTAAAAAGTTAATATTACCTTTGACAACTTAGAGTTTCAAAGCATGTTTAATTGATGATGTCATTTTTACCATACTGCTGAATTAAGTTGAGTCACTTGTTAAATAAATGTTCTTTTGCTCTCCATCAAGGCCTCTTTGCCTACACCAGTGGGTGTCTTGTGGTCATAGAGGACCTTCATTCTGGTACTCAAAGGCACCTTATGGGGCACACAGAAGAGATCTCTACATTAGCCCTACAGCATGATGGTCTGATGCTGGCCTCAGCCTCTGGGCCTTCTGATACAGTAGCCAGTCAGATCCTCTTGTGGAACCTGCCAGATGGAGTTTGTCAAAAGGTATGCTTCTTGTGTTTACTTTGATGCACATGCTTGCACTGCATAAATAATCAATGCAGTTGGTGAGCACAGGGGCTGTTGGTAAGAATGTAACTGTGTAGTATTTATCTCTCACATGGTCATTTACATATAGCAGAGTCAGATTTCATAGCCTTACACAAACATCATACTTAGAGAGTGTGTCATTGTATTTAATAACTGATATTTTTACTAGTTTTATTGACTCAAGCATTCTTGTGAACCATTACCAAACTTGCAAATGCCTTCTTGTAAACCTCCACATCCCCTCTTTTTCCTTTAGTGTTTTTCTACTGTTGTGTAGTAAGAGGCATTGTATGGGTAAATTGCATAAGAACACAAATGAATGAGACTGTCGCCATTGTTTGACCTGAGCTCTGGACTGCTCCCTAATCTCTGTCCCATCATGTTTTCTACTGTTGTGTAGTAAGAGGCATTGTATGGGTAAATTGCATAAGAACACAAATGAATGAGACTGTCGCCACTTTTTTCTTTTCTTTTCTTTTTTTTCTTTTATTTTTTTTTAATTTTTTTTTTAATCTCCTTATTACAAGTCATTTTCTTTCAGGTTCTAACCCACCATGAACATGAGATAGTCTGTCTAGCATATTCCCGTGATGACAGATTCCTTGTGTCAGTGGGTGATTACAGGGAGTGTTCTGTTGTGGTTTGGAGCACAAGAGACTTGGTAGTCCTTGCCTCCTCTTTTGCCAGGCATCCAGTTCATGACATCATGTGGGATCCATACACTGCTAATGAATTTTGCTCCGTGGGTCAAGATGGCTCTGTGTTGTTTTGGTTACTGGATGAGACTGGTGATCAGATGACACTCAATGTACGTAAACACTAGCTTAACTTTTTTAAAATACAACTGAAAATCAATAACCTTGGATTAGAGCTTGGAGGGGGTTTGTAATCAGATGTGTAACATTTCCCTCAGACAACCAGCTATCAATAATAACTTTGCCCCCTTCCCTACCAAACAATTATGACAGCCTATTTTGTAATGTGATCAGCCCAAACACTGTATCCCCCCATGCCCAACAGCAGCACTCATACAAGTCAAGGATAAGGGAAAGAGCTTTTTAAATGAGAAATCAAAGTCTTTTCAGAGCAACTAATAGTTCTTCAATATTGTTTAGGTTCATGAGCCAGAGGTTCCAGATGAACTTACACAGTCCAAGAAAGTTGTAAGTTTATTTCATTAATTTTTGCTTTTGTTTGTCTTCTCAGAAGTATGAGTTTTTCTAAGGTCATGAAACAACCTGTAGGGTAGTTTTCCCCTTTTTTAATCTCCCAAATGGTCTTAGGGCTTTATTTGGCTATCGTGATTTCTTTCTTTCATATCAGTTTTATTACTTTTGAAGAGTTCTAATAGTACTGTAAGGCAACCTGCTGTGAAAAGGATCATAAAGAACATACTACAATGCACAATAAGTGAATCCTTTACAAGAACTAAGTTAATTTTCTTCACAGAGAGATGAGTATTATGATTTCACAGCTGTTTGGTATGCAGGAGACAGTACTATGTATGCTGCTACAAGCTCAGGTATTTAAACACCCAGCAGTGATTTGCTAGTCTAAACAATATACACCTGTCGAAGTTGTAATGCATAGTACTTTCTTGTCACCTCTGACAGCACAACTACTTCTTCATTGTGCAATTAACTGTTCTTCAATTGACTTATTTAGACTTTATGAAGCCAAGTTAGAGGGATTACTTTTTTTTTTCTTCAGGTTTGAACAAAGTACTTCTACCCTTTGTCTCTTAACCCTTAAACTCTCCTAAGTGATTGATATGTAACTTCTCCCTATAATATACTTACAATATCCCCCAAACAGGCATTAAGAATATTCCAACTAATTGAGTAGAAGTTGTTATCTTGATCCAACACCAAATTCTTGTAACTTATTTACAAGGAAATATGTATGTTGGGTGTTAAGAAGAAGCAGGAACTGAATCTCCTGTGGTCCCCTCTGAGCTCTGCCACAGCCCACTGTGCTGGTCTGAGTCATTATTTGCCATGTGCACATCTGAGTTCTTGACCAATTAACCCTGTACACCCCAGCATCTGAATGCATATTCTCCACACTGCTCCCTATACGTTTCCTGTAGTTCCTGTAGTACTGACCAAGATAATTTGTTTGATGCTCAAAATACTCTTTTGTTGCTTATCATTCCCTTTATTCTTGGGACTTAATCATTTGACTCAGGGGTGATATTGTATTGAGAAATTAGAAGCTAGTTACTCTTTGGAGTTGAAGGGTTATTTAAAAAAACATTACAGAAGGCAATAGGTAAAATGTGTCTTTTTTTTTTAACAGGAATGTTGTCTGCCTGGGACACCAGGCAGAACAAGTGCTTCATTCACTGGGAAGGAGACTCTGCTGAAATTGGTATGCAGGTGTAGTAGAATTTAGAAAAAGGCATTGGAGAAATCTAGCCTTCAATGGAATGGATGAGTGCAAACATGACAAATGTCACATGGGCTTTGAAGTTTTGGGGAGGTCCCTGTGAGATGGTGGAAATACTAGATACAATGAGCAAACACAGAACGCTGTTATAAATCAATTACAACCAAAATTGCTTACTGCATACCATATATTGTACGTGTAGTGGTACATTTCTGACTTTTAAAAACATGATTAAATTTTTGTAGGTATGCTTATGGGATATGGTGGTACTCTTATAGCTGGCAGTGCCTCAGGGAATCTCAGATTGTGGTCTGTGGTAGGAGTGAGTGAGATGCGACTTCCTGGAGATGCCACTAGGTACAGCAAACCACAATGAAAAGCTCATAGCTAACACAGGCAATATTTAATTTTATGCCTGATTCCATTAACTTTCCTGTACTTCAGTCATGGAAAGCTCTCTCAAATGCCCAGTTTCCATCACATTTAACAATTATTACCACCCAAGTGAAAAAGAGAATTTTATTCATCTGTACTTTTTTTAGATTATCCAGCAATGGTTTGGTTATGGAAGATGAAATGACACTTGATGGAGCCATTATTTCTGCATCATTTGATGAAGCATTGGAAACTGTGAGTTTCATTCTTTTCTTGCACCTCTTGTTGATTTCATGTCACTGTACTATACAATCATTACTACATTAACAGAATTAATGGAATTCATGTTGTGTTATTTTTAAAAGGGCATTATTGGTACATCATCAGGTACATTATGGTATGTCAACTGGGATGAAAGAACCAGTATCAGGTTGGTCAGTGGCCATGCACAGAAGGTGAGTATTGCTTCTTTGAAGGATTTATAGGAAGTCCTACACTCAATGTTGATCATTCATTCTTCCTGATAGTTTGGTTTACGATTGCTAAGTTAACCAGTTTGATGGTTTAGCATGATAGTGTAACCTTGTCTTTTCAGTTTTGAAGCATGATGTAGTGATTGGCTGAGTATAGAATGTTACAGTTTGATTTAACCATCAGAAAGAACACTAAAATCCTACAAACTCAACTACTCTATTAAAACTTCGAGTGATATCCTTAACAAGGAAACAGTTATTATCCTCTATAAACTTACTTAAGCCTACCACAGTCTATATCTTAGCTCACCACTGACACAAACTCACAATTTTCTCCAAAGTTCCTTGAAATGAACAATCTTCCACAGTAGGTCTCTCTCAGTCTATCTATTCAGAAATTCAGCCACTCCTGACAACAACAACAACAACAACAACAACAACAACAACAACTACTACCACATGAATGCCAGTCCATGTATACATTTACAAAGTACTCTAGAACATTCAGGAATCTTACAACACAACTGTTTTGGTAGTTTTACATCATAACTACATGACCTATTAGAATATTCTAGAAAGTTCCATGGTGTGCATGTCAGCATGACTAGGCATGCTATAAATTTCTAGAAACTTATCTTTTCAGATATTATCCATAACAAGAAACATATTAGTGCTGATACCTAATTAAAACAATTTTCAATGATGATTCATCATTTTTACTTTTTGTAGATTAATGACTTACTCTTCAGTGGTCCAGATGACCAGTACTTTGCAACATGTAGCACTGATGGAATCTTACATCTCTGGAGCAAGGATAACTTGGAACATCTTCAGTTTCAAGTTCTTGGACAGGTATAATTCTGCAGATTATTTGTTGGTTTCATTGGTGATAATAATAACCCATCATATTTTAACTGGCATGTTATTGATTTAAAACGTTTATGGGATTAAAATTTTCCTCAACTGAGAGTAAGTAAGAGTCCCCATTTGATACCAAACTCTGCTTGTATAGTTGTCAATTCTCAGACATCATCTGTTTCAAGAAGGGAACAGTTTTCAGAGATCAAAGCTTTTGGAAAACTTTGAGCTTCGTGGTGATATTCCCCAATTAATTTTAATTGGGGAAAATGGGAAAGCATTTTGCTCCTTTTGAAAAAGGAGAGGCAAACTTGAATGTTCAGGAAGTCAAACTGGAGAACACACAGAAAAGAAGCATGTATCTTGATGAAAGTAGAAAAAATAGCTTTAAATTTGTGGGTTTATCAACAACTAAATTTTTTCCAGAATTGCAACTGTGTGTCCTTCAGTCCAGTACCAACTGCCACTCCCACTAAATCTGTCACAAACGAGGGACAGACTATCGCAACTGTCCACCCACAGCCTCAACCTGATGATGAGACTATTATTCACCCTTCACATTGTGCTGCTGGGTACAGTGATGGAACTATCAGAATATTTGATTTGGGTAAAGTGGAAATGGTTATGAAAATGCAGCCTCATGCTGCCGCAGTGACAGCAATAGCATTCTCATCTTTTGGTAAGAGTATGCATCATATGTTGGTGCATTTTTTCACCAAAAATATTTTTGTGTTTCTTCTGGTTTCTAGATTTACACTAAAAAACAAGTTTACAAATCATGTGGCTCTTCTCTTGAGCTTCAAGATGGTTGGAGTGTCTGGGATACATTGTGGAAGGGTTTAATGTTACTTAATTCTTTTACAAAAAACAAAGAAGACAGCAAAATACTATGCTAAGTTATACATGTAACTTCATTAAACTTTAACACACTGTAATACATGCATAACTGTTACAGGAAGAGTGATTATCAGTGGTGCTGAAGATGGTTTGCTGGCTATCAGTAGTCCCTCAACAGGGTTGACAGTGAGACTTTTGAATGATCACAAGGGTGCACCAATCACATGTATTCACATCTCATCTGTTAAGGTCAACTGAAGTTTCCTAGAGTTATCTTATGAACATTGCTGCATTGTTACATGCATTTTGCATTATACCTGTAGACATGCCGCTCATAATTGGACTTTAAGCTACAGTGTAACTTTTTCTTTGAAGACTAAATTATCTTAAGTTATAATTCAAGATTCCATAGGAAAATTCAACAACGGACGATGAATTCCATGCTAAATTTAAAAAAATTGAATATCTTTTTCATTGCTTCACAATTCAGTCAATGATGGCTTTCATCTTGCAAGTTAGCATGCATGCAGTTCTTTCGTTAAGTAGTGATTTTTTAATATAATTTAGCCTTAAAGTTAGGTTTTTTTACATGTTTCTTACAATTATTAAATAATATAAGAGAGTTAACATTACATTGTTAAATATTTTGGTAACTCTTCTTCTTTTTCTTTACACCACCACAGGATCAACAGTACCCAATGTCATCCCCATTGCTGTGGCTAGCAGCAAGTGCTGATCGCCGCGTCAGTATCTGGAGTGCTGACTGGTCCAAAGACTTCTGTGAATTAGTAGACTGGCTGACATTTCCTGCCCCACCCTTTGGACCTGATGGACAAGCTCTTAGGAGAGGGGACCCTGTATGTCACGTAGAAATATATTAAGAATATTTGACATGTTTTTGGTGTTAATCTCATACTTGATGTTAGCATGGTTGTTAGACTAGTTTAATTTATTATGAGCTTGAAGGGCTCCTTGTAACAGTGTAACAGTAACGTAATGGTTACTTTGCACAATGCCCACAATGTAAGAGGGTGATGTGTCTTGAAGTCTCGCCATTCAGCTGAGAGTGGTCTTTACAAGGGTTGCTGTCAGTGGTTAAGAGATTGAGAGTCATTATCAGTCCCTTCACTCTGATGTTTACTTTGGCTCACATTGTTGAAACCCTACAGTCACTGCCACCGGCAGCAGGGCATGTCAGTACTTCCCTATCCCAAATGATTAGACTGAGTTTAAATTATAAAGGTCTTGACCAGTGGGCAAAATAATACCATTGCGAGAATCAATAACTGTATATAACTGTTTGCTGTGACTTCATCATGCTATAAGTTAGAGAGTGACATTACTTGTCATGAAGCTTATTTGTTGATGAATATCACCTAAAACAGGCCCACTTCTCACAGCTGCCTCCAAGCCTGGCCCAATTCTCTCCTACAGACCCTGACATTGTTGTCTACACTGGCTATGGCATGCAGAAAGCTGTTCAGTTCTACAGTCTGGCTCAGAAAAAGGTACCATCATTCCAGTACCATTAGAATTCCCCTTTGCACTATACTTTAATAAAATTGAAAATTTCCAAACTCAAAATGTAGCATCTTCCTCACTCTATTGGTTCTGTTATCAACACAAATTAGGAGACTCTGGATAATTCTCCTTTTTTTTTGTTTGTTTTTTGTTTGTTTTTTTTTCTTAATTACAAAGACAAAATAGAAAATGTTGTATGTAAAATATTTTTTTAGCAGCTCGACCCTCATTTCTCCCCTGTCTTGACTCATCTTCAATGTATATAACTATGATGTCATACAATCCCACTCTTCAACCAATGGTGCACTATCCCATGTTTGCAGAATAGAGTAATATTTCCAAAATAGTAGAAAGGTCACTTGCAAGAACCAAACTTCAATATGTTAATTTTCAATATTAACATGAAGACCTTGGCATGAGGCCTTGGGTAGCAAACAACAGAATTTACTGGTTTTATTCCCCACAGCCTTGTTGTGAGAGTTGATGTTGAATGCTAAAATGTATATATCTAAATCAGGAAGTTTGCATGTTCACTTGTTATTTACTATCTGTACAATTAAACTATTCATAAAGACTACTGTGGTTGTGGGGTGCCTATTCTAATGGCTGCCTTCAGTTTTCAGACTTGTTTTGCTGTGAGGGGTCAACTTTTTCACATCCTAATATATGTCTCTTTTCAGGTTGTACGTACTGCAGCACTCACTCAGTGGGTGACCTCCATGGATATATCACCCATGGGACATCTCATTGCTTTTGCAACAGAAGGTAGTCTGGTGTTACAATATATTTTATTTTTTTGCTTGAAAGGCATTGTGGTAAAATTTAGTTGAAACCCACAGCACAAGTCTGAGCTCAAGCAAAACTCTACACACCTGGAAATTAAATCTAACAAAACCTTTGATGTGAGTCAAATTTACTTTTACATATCTTTGTGCAATATCCAAGCAATACCATTTTCAGAATGAAAAGGTTTGTAAACCACACAATGCAAAATTGTAACTCCCTGTATAAGGGAACCCAACCTTGTCCCTCTTGTAGAAGAACACAAAAAAGTTTTTAAATCAAAAGCTGAAGTAGTATCTCTTGCAGTATCTCAATTGTTTTATAATCAATAAGAACCCTTACGATGAGAATCTATTTTGCTCTACTTACAGAGCGATTAGTCAAACTGATGGACTACAATGAGGGAAGCTTTCAGGATTTCATGGGACACTGTGATGGTGTGAGCAATGTTAGGTTTGCACCATCTGGGGAACTACTGTGTTCAACAAGCCAGTCAGAAATTTTGATGTGGAACGTCAGGGCTGAACTTGATTAGGTTGCATGAACCAGTATTGGGGTTCCTATAACAGCACATTTCCATACTTGGAGGGTGAATTGAGAAGATAGTACAGTACAACAAGATCTAGCCTGTTTGACTGAAGAGGAAGGAGAGGGTAGAATGAAATTTGTGTGCAAAGTGTAACTATTTGGGGAACAGGATGATCCCACTGAATCTGACCTAAACATCCAGCAAATGATAGAAATTTCATTGGAAAACAAATGCATAATGTCCCAAAAACAACAGCAAAACAGTAGCATGGTGAAAAGTAAAGTAACATGAAAACTCTCAAGACATATTGCTCTCAAAAAAGCAACACTTATTTTATATACACAAAATCATACACATCACAACACTCACAAACTTAAAAGTAACATGTTACAAGTGAGCATATTCCACCAATATGTATATCATGGTGGTCAAGAAACTCTCTTGAGAAATTCCTCTGTAAATGAAGAGGGTAAAAATCCTGAAATGCCATGAAATGTTTGAAAAGAATAGAAAATTTTCTTGTATTGATGTAAATTCTTTCTGGAAATGGTTTGAAACCTGAATCTGTTGTCTTTGTGGCCCAATGTGGTAAATAGCCTCAAAGGCTCTCTCTCTTAAAAGTTATTGCATAGTCTGTAAACAACACGACTTCTAGAGAGGGTCACATGTTTATGGAGTGTTGTACATACTAGTTGCATACAGTCCTGTTGTAAATATCACAGAAACAACGTGTGAATATAATTTGTTAATATTTTGTGATTAATTGTGGCAGACTTTTTTACACAGCAGTTTACATGCTTACCAGGATTGGTTATTTTGTATGCAATAATACCACTGATAAGTGTGTGGATGTAAAATGCATTTGATCTCAACAACCCAAGGATCCATAAACTGTCTCCATAAATTCCAGTGTTACACTCACTGTCAGTAGTAGCATTAAACTGAAAGTCTTTTTCCTTGCAGATCACACAATAATAATTCACTTTTCCTTTAAAATTCCCACAAGTAGTACTGATTTTACTTCAACTGTCCATGTGTGTTTTGTGTCCAAAGGACAGCTGTTTGAATTGCATATATTCACTATGTAATAACAATTATACTGTATTTCATAGAGTGAGTGCCCAAATGCTTAATTAATTTTCAGCTAAAAGAAGGGGCACTTGTTTGAATGAGGGTGTTGAATTGAGGGTGCTTGTTAAGAAACTCTTAACCTGTAGTGATTCAGCTGTAGTTGAAGCTTAAAAAGTTATAAACAGGGTGGCACTAGAAACAGGTTTTTCTTCTGTTCCTACTATTTAAGAAAGTGGGAGAGGAGGGGGTGCTTGTTTGATGTATCTGCTCACGATCAGGGGGTGAGCACTTTTTAGAGCATAGGTGCTTATTCAAGGAAATGTCGTAATCAGTTCTGTTTTCCAGTTCATGCTTGTGATACATATAAGTCATGTGGCTCATGTTTTCAATATTCTTTATCCTACTCAAACATTTCAGATTGTATTACAATACATAGCCAAATCTTTCTGGTGATAGACATGTTTATTTTCTAAACAATAATTACCAATTTAAATTAAGATCTTATGATCCACTTTCTAACATATCCTAGTTGTTGTCGTTAGCTGATTACCTTTCAATACATTTGCTTTGAACTAAATTACTATATGAGAATTTGAGACCAAGATAATCAACATCATATAATCTGAATAATCCAAAGGCTGTTAGCCTTCCTTGTAAATAAATGACAAAACAGGGGCTTCTTAATAGCTGTTATACATTCAAGTTGAGTACTGAAAAGTCATTTACTTAATATTGCACTTTATTCCACCAAAGCACTTCAGCTTTCAAATTTCTTTATATGCCTGAAGTTGCTGGTCTATTGTTCCTTATGTCAATATTTTGCAAACCCTAACTAAAATCATGGAGATTTATCATTTTTTAGTACACCAGCAGATATCTGTGATATAAGGTAGTTTATAAATTTGTGTCCCTTTTAGATCAGGGTGGTTGATCAGAATATCTCTAATCTTAGATTCAACTATTGTTCTCTTTTCTTTGCTGCTCTGGCTGATTGCACTGATACACATGATCACAGACACTATCTTATCAATGTCTCCTTCCAGGTATGTTCTACAGCTAATGTCCCTTTCTACTGAGGTAACTTTGCCAGAGCTATTTAAACTTTCCATCCATTTTAGTTCTCTAGGATCAGGTGGCATATCTTTTTGTCTCACAAATGGATTGACTATATCTTGCATAGCTCTCACCCATGGAACAGAAAAATCTCTATGGTTCCAAATCATGCCATACTTGCCTCCAGGTTTAAGAACACGACAAATCTCAGCAACAGACTTTTCACCGGCAAACCAGTGAAATGATTGTGCACAAATTATAACTGGAATGCTTTCATCTGGCAGAGCTGAAAGTTTAACACAAGACAAAGGAATAATTCAGACAAGAAATGTAGCACTGAAAAGGAGAATGCATGAGGGTGCAACTTTTGCCACTGTTTTCACCATGCTTTTGACTGGTTTAAACTGTGACATTTATCAAAACATTTATCCTCAACATCCTCTTTCTAATAAGATGAGTTTGATGCAGAAAAAATTGAAATAGTTATCACCATAAATTAAATTATATTCACAAATATTATGGCCTCTAAATAGACTCTCAAAACTTACTATATTTTCCAAAGTTGGAGCATTAAGAAATTGCCGGTTTTTCTTATGGGGTACATATTGCAAGATCACACTATCTAACCTGGTAGAGGTGTGGCTATGGGGGGCAGTAGCATGTGACAGTTAAAAGCCAATCAATTATCTTAACAAAATTAACACTGGCCAACCCCTTCTGAGGATGGGTTACAAATTTGAAGACCTTTTCTCGTGTCAAACAAACTCTGTAAAAAAAAAAATTTACGAAAGGTGTTTTTGGTATCATCTCGAGTGTGACAAAAAGAGAAAATTCAAAGTCCTCCCAAGGAATAGGGATAACGTGATTGATTTGACTCGCTGCTCTCCACATACAAAATTTAGTGTTCCGCATGTTAGAGATCAAAGTGTGTGCGTGCACAGGTGGCCCAAGCTCCAGTTCTTGCGAAATTATAAGAGCCTGTATGGGTATATTTACGACCGCTCTTAGGAATAAAGAGATAAGTCAAATTCTAAATAAAAAACAAGGGAGGGCTTCTCTTATGTAGTAAACCGAGAAATGGATAACTCGCTGCAATGGGTTCTTTTCAACATAATTTGTTAGAAGGTCAAGAGGGAGTCAAACATCATGATGGCGTGGATTGTGCCTCACCGATTTTCTCTGCCGGGAAGTGATGCACCTCGATTCCAGGGACAAGTTTTCGGAACGTGTCACACATCACCTCCTGAGAGTCACTGGCAATGACTTCCACGTTAGCTCTCTCTGCCTCTAATTCCTTAACCATAGCTCGCGTAAATTTTCCAGTTCCAGAGGCAATCTCTAAAAGTTTTATGGGCTCCTTCCTGTCCCAGGGTAGTACACCGACACGATTAAGGAGAAATCGAACAGATTCTTGAGTGTATTCTGGTCTTCCTTTTTCGTATAGTGACAAATCCGTGGTAAACTTTCGTAACCCACTACCGGCGTCCGCCATATTGAAAGAATACTTGATTTGCGAGAGACTGGAGGATAGATAATGGCAAATGAGGAACGTGGAACTGGGATGGAAACTCGAAATAAGGCGATCAAATGTCGTAGAACTGCTTTGAAAAAACCCCCATTTTTCACAGATCAGAGGGGCCTTTACATTCTCCTGATATATTTTAAATGTGGTTCAAGGTGCTAACAAGGAAGATTAGGCTACCTACATATCAGCAAAATGCAGAATTATCTCTTGCATCAAGTCATGCATCTCAGGGTAACATAACCATGCCAAAGTCTCCTCTGCCACCCCTCCCAATGAAGTTTTGTAAACACAACAGGTCAGCTATCGCAAATGTAAATGCTCATAACGTCAACAGATCAATGCCCACAGAGTTAAACAAAGTAAGTAAACCAAACAGTTTGCATGGTGTATATAGTTACACTTTTTTATTTTACCTAATAACTAACAAAAATAAGCATTAAGAACAGTTAATCAGGTGTTTGCTATCCAAACATCACCCATAACCATAAACTTTGCGTGTGCTTTCTGTTACAACAGATGTTCACCCAAGTGACTTCCATGCATATCCTATTTTAGAACACTTAATTTCTGGAATACTGTGTTCTAGTTGGCTGTAATTTTCCAGGTGAGAATTTTCAACCATGCAAAATAAGATTCACATCGGCCTAAGTGCTTGTTCTCTGAGATTGTGCACCCCTTTAAACCAAGCTATGGTTTGAGCAGTATTCTACAACCCACATATCACTGAGCTCACATTATTACTATGCCGCATTTAGCTGTTAAATAATGTCTGCCTGTCTATCTGTCTGCCTTTTCCCTCCTTGCAGTTTTAAGAGAAAAAAGAGAATCAGGTTTTCTTGAGTAGTAGTCCCTATCACTAACTGGCCCCTTTTACATCATTTTGAGTTTCTTGTGGGATTACCCATGAAGAAAATACTTTTTATCACTAGATTGACTTATTCCTTTTCTTTAAGTCTAAATCATCAAAAATATCCTGGCCAAAATTATTCTGTAAGTGTCAGGGAGAAAAAGAAGTCATATACATGATTTATATCATGTACCTTTAGTAACTTATCATTTAAAGTTATCATCTTTGGAATGTCTGTAATTTGTAAATATAGCATGATATAGAGACACAGCACCTTACACTAAACAATTTATTTTCCCGAGAATCTATGTTATTTGCTAACATGCAAATTAAGCAGATGGAGACAAGCTCCTTACACTTCACCATCTATTTTCCTTAGAATGACTCAACTGTCACAAATACTTCATATCATTGGCTTTTACAAATTAAATATCTACCAGAGGACCCCCCAGCATGAAACAGTGATCATTTATCAGAGAACTTACTTCTATTATGACTAATGAATTACATTCCATAATTTGATTATAAAGAAAACCAATGAATGGAGGAAACCTCCTGATCCACACAACAAAACCCACAACCTTCTGCCTTTGTTTTATATTTTCATAATCACAAAAACTTGCCTAATTGTTTAAATAGATAGGCTATGAAGTCGTCTGATTGTCATTTCTCTTCTGAAATGGGTAGAAAGTGTTGGTAATAGTCTTTCGTTTTCTCTGTCATAATTTCCTGCATACATTCTGGTAATTCTGCTGAGAACACACCTGACAAGAAAGCACCGAAAGAGAGTTGTTTCACTTTGTTATAATTAACATCTAAACACCAAAGTGAGGGTGGCTTATGGTGGAGTCCTGTAGTAGATTAAAATATTTTCAGGTGCAAATCCTGCTCGACTTGCTTGGAGGTTAATAACAAAGGATATTTGGACTTTGAGTAGCCAATCAGAGCATGCCTTCAATGCTAACCACTGTTTACTATATGCTAATTATCACTGATCTAATTTGAAAACATTTCTCTTGTGTCTTTTAATTGCTGGTCTGTGATTCATATAGGATAAATCACATTAACTTTGTAAAATCTGAAGCTTTTAAGGAGAAAAAGTCATCCAAAGAAATAGGGTAAAACAAAGAAACTAACAGGCTAGTGTAAAAGAACACCCATAAAAAGTACTATGTTTGAGGAGATTAATGTTTGTGTTCAATTATCAACAAATATTCTCCAGGGTTTCCGATGAAAATCCCCTAACCCTTTAACTCCCAGGATCTGATTGTTAATTCTCCCCTCTAGCTACTACACATTTCCTTGTAAATTAGTTGCAAGAATTTGGTGTTAGATCAAGATAACAACTTCTACCTGATACATTTGAGTACTCTCATTACCTGTTTGCTAGATTGTGGATGGATATTTTAGGGAGAGGTTACACATGAATCACTTCTGGGAGTTGAAGGGTTAAGGGCACAGACTAATCAAAGTGTTGGATGACATATGCAGGATTTTGTTACAATGAAGAAATAGGGGTGTGCACCATATGATTTTAACAATAAGGTGAATGTATTCTCTGAAGGAACTGTTGTTTTTGATCAAGGCTTAAGTTTTGTTAACCTGAGGAGAAGTAAGCATCAGAGTCAGGTGAGGAGGTGGTTCAGTTCAAATTAGTCATAATGGGAACTAAAGTTGTACAGACAAATTGGTGACATACCTGGTGAGCCTGAATACAGAGTAAAAGGTGGAACAACAGTTTCAGGGGGGAGGACTGTGTTATCAGCTATAGCACAACAATCTTTTAATACACTTCGGCGACCCTTAAAAAGACATCAAACAGAGAAACGGTAATCCTTTACTTCAATAATTGCAATTATTATTTGTATTTCTTGGGCAGTTTTGATTTGATCCTTTAAAATAACTCCTCTAAAAAATAAGAGGAGCAGCATGATGTGAAATTTTGAATTCCACATTTTCTGTCCAAATTGAAAAATTCATCTCAAGACTTTATTGTTAGGTGTCATCCAAATATTCTTGAGAGAGGGACTAGTCCAGCAGATCATTAACATATGGTAAAGGAAAATTTAAGGAATATAAATATGAGGACTTCAAATCTGTGGCTCAATCCTTCTTTTTTTCAGATGAAGAAATTTAGTACCAAGGTAATACAATGTTAGCTTAGGATGAAATATGATCTTGAAAAATGTGAATGCATTTCAACCCAACATATTCAAGACAAATTGCATACAGGCTGTAAGTTAATTAATGCATTTTAGAACTAGGTAGACATATAGACCAGTATTATTCAAAAGAAGATATTCTCATCAGAAGAAAGTTTAGCTAGTAGTAATTTAGTAATCTACTGTTTATAAGGTATACTTTAATTTTCAAACTTACAATTACACAGTTTTTTCCTATGTGGACATAAGAACCAACTTGAGCAGCATTGATGACACAATCCTCTTCAATAATAACATGGTCTCCAATATGGAGGGGAAAGAATGCAACTCTAAATACAAATCAGAAGAGAAGTACAACCAATTAAGTATTCTTGAGATATAACAGTATAGTTCTAGCACTTGAAAAGCAAGCCATTAAGTTGTAAAAAAATTCCATCTTCCCTAGTAATTACTTAATAATAACTAATAATTAATAAGGCAGAAATGTTAAGAAATGTTAACCCTTTGACCTCTTCAAATGACCAGCATCTAATTTCTCCCTACAGAATCACCCCTGAATCACATATTAAGGTCAGGAGAATAAAGGAAATGATCACCTACTAAAGAAGCTCTTGATTGTTAAACAAGTTCTCCTTGTCAGTACTTTAGGAAATGTATAAAGAACAGTATAGAGAATATGCATACTGATGTTTGGGCAAAGAGGGTTAATAACAAAAAACAACACAAACCCTTTGCTGAATTTCTTAAATGGCGGCCTAATTACACTTCTTTTACTGATCACGCACTGTCTTCCGATTCTGACATTTGCAAGATCTCCACGTAAAATACAATCCGATTGAATGATTGTCTGAAAGAGGGATTAATATTGTTGATCAGTAAACAACTTTCAATGATATTTGATGACAGTGAATAACCACTCCGATTTCATAAGACCTACCTTTCCGTTTAAAACAATATTTTGACTCCCACAGAGAACTGACTGACGGCTTACTTTATTTCCTGATGCCTGAGTAACAAATAAACAAGTTTAACTCCTCGTGAAGAATGGAGAATGCCTCCAGATGGTTCATGCACACGCCTAAATTGAATCATGTAGGGTTTCAAATCAACGATCTGTTACACTTACAGTTTCTATATATTCTGCTTTGTTGTAATACACGTCTTTTTGCTCCATTTATCAGACCAAGTTTACGCTAACAAGGTTAGTTGGTATAATATGCTTGGTTCATATCCCTGTTACTTCGTGTACAGAAATGACCAGGCACTATTGTCGTGGAAGGCTGGGTTCTAAATGTGGCCCAATTGTCTAGGGAGGGTAGGGCTACTTTTCCTATGTACATTTTAATTATCCATAATTGCTTAGATTAAGAGGTTCTTTATTTTCTCAGATTCCTCATAGAAAATTTTCACTCTTTCTTACTGTTTAAAATTGGGTAAAATAAGTGAAAGGTCTAAATAAGTATCATGGTTTGAATATCAAGAATGGATTTCCCGTCTCCTCCCTAGTAGAGAATGTCTTTTGTTCATTTATCCTTATTCCTGGCGTCTCGATAGTTCGTGAACACGATTTGCAGCACTTTCTTTACCTTTATGGCCTGGAATCAACCTCCTCCGGGACACCAGCCTGGTTATAATCCAGCTTATGTACGTATTGTCAAATACTTTCTAAGTTCTTGCTTTTGCCACGAATTCTTCGAATGTTTTTGAAACATCGTTACATGTTAACATCTTCCGGAAGATAGGCTAGTGTATCTCGTTCTTGAGTAGTTAAAAAGCCGTTTCATTCTGTTATGTAACTGCTCTTGTGTTTATGCACTATAAGCAAACCTCGTTACCTGCAAATCAGGTAATAAAATTTAATTGTAAGAAATGAGCAAAGTTGGATTCCTCTAAAACATGATGGATTTGGTTGTTGTCTTGTCAAAGGGAATGTCATGGATTTTTACCCTAGCATGTTGAAAATGAAACAAAAGTTTTACTAGCTGTCAAGGGGTAGTTTAGGGTAAGGTGCATTCATTTTACAGAAAAAGGCCTAACCAGAGGCTTTTGCCCTGTTATTGAAAAAAAAGGCTTAAAAACCCATCATCACCTTGAATACACTGTAAGATTAGCATGGTTGAAATTTGTCTCTTAGGAAATAAAAGCCAGTGAAAATGTTGTATTCAACAGATGTACCCCTTTAACTCAGAAGAAAAAGAAGACAAAGCTACTTATGAAAATGTTAAAAGAAGAATGCTCAGGGTGCAGGTTATTGTCTTAAGGCAGAAAATCTTGAATAGTTTTCTCTCTTTATTAAAACAGGGTGGGCAGTACAATTATGGTCAACCACAGGGATATCAACAGCAGAACCCATATGGTCCTCCACCTCCAGCATCACAGTATCCTCCTGGTTATCAAGGGGGGTGGGGAGGCCGTCCAGGTCCTCCTCCTGGGGTTGATCCAGTCCTCTGGGATTGGTTTCAGGTAAAGTAAACAAAACCTTTACTAAAGAAATACTTTGTTGGTACTCTCCTTTGATAGGATGTTATTCTGGGGTAGGTTCCTCCCTTCCAATTATCTGTATATGTTTCTTGGACAAGAGACCTATTTAGCTTGTATGTTTTGTTTACCCCTTTCCAGTCTTGAAATGATGCTTTAAATGACTATTTATTTCAAATTTCCTGTTATTCATGTGTATTTATACAAAAGGTAAAGCTGGGAATTCCCTTGTGACCTGAAATGGATGAACAAAACATGCTAAGGAGGTCTACTCTGCAGTTATCTTGTATTGAGAGAGGCTCTGTAGAAGTTAAATTCCTTCTTTTAGAATCAAGACTCGAGTTCCATTTTTCAAGGCTTGAAGAATTTATTGAGGATCTAGCCTGAAAATTTTGTAAAATGTGCTATAAAGTAGCCAACAACTACATCATTATATATGTTCATATCTGTTTGATTTTAAATGAATAATGACTTTTAAGCCTAATTTGGTTTCAGGCAGTTGATCAGGATAGATCTGGAAAAATAACTGCCAAAGAATTGCAGCAAGCTCTCTTAAACAACAACTGGTCGCAGTTTAATCCAGAAACTTGCCGACTAATGATTGGCATGTTTGACAAAGATCAGTAAGTACCTCTGTCTTGAATGCCACCCTGCCTGTGCACCTATTGTCAGAACTGTTGTCATAATACACAGCACCATTGTTTTGTTAGTTTCACTGACATATAAAACCAGTCTACCTGGAGAATTGGTGAAGCTGCTGATTTGAAGTCAGCTTTGTTTATTTGTCTTGAAGAGAACTACTCCACATAATGTTATAAAAAAATTTGTTAAACTTATGATACTGATCATCTTTTTCAATAAATGTGTGTAAAATTTACCTTTGTAGATCTGGCACAATTGACATTCATGAATTTTCAGCACTGTGGAAATACATCCAGCAGTGGAAACAATGTTTTGACAGGTAATGCTGAATCATTTATTAACTTGATAAGCAAGATATGGTACAGAAGTTTGTAAGATAATATATTGGTGTTCAAAATAAAATTTCAGTGAGCTCAATCACTGCTATTAATTTCCATGAACATATAAATGTGTGTGAAAATGAATTCAATTATGAGTTCAGGTTTTTAATACAGCTGTATCACTTTTCCTGCTCCAATTTTTAGGCTGCATATGTAATAAAAGAGTGGTGAATATATTTGATTTATATGGGGAAGGTGGATTTACAGAGATATGACTTAGTGGATATTTGTTAAGCAAAAAATGGTCTGTGTCTAAGTGAAAATAGGTTTGACTAGAAAACTTAAATGGTAGCAGCCAGAAATTTTTCAAGCTTTTAGGTAGGATTTAATAAGTGGTCCTCAGCAGGATGTTAGACATCATTCACATGTGATTTGTCATTGTGATAGCCATCCATTTGATAGATACATGAGATTTTACTGTTTTTAATTCTGAGCTTCTTTTGATTATGATAACCTTGTCAGTGTCTTGGAATTCTTCTGGGTACAAAAACTACATGTTGATCTCAATTAAAAATTTGTTAATATTAAGAATTCTCTTGATTATATATTCTGTAATCATTAAAGTTTCTTGTTTATTAATTCACCAATAAAGCTTTGATCGTGACCGATCAGGAACAATTGATGCTAATGAACTTCAAACAGCCTTCACAAGCTTTGGATACAGATTGTAAGTTAATGAGTTTGCCAACTCTGAATTACTTCAATTGTTATGTTATTTGGTTTGTCTTAGTGTATCTAAAACTCCTTTCAGTGACAATAACTTGGACCCAACTAAGACATGAACCTGGACTTCTTGACTCAGAGTCCACATTTTTTAACACTAGGCCACTGCACCACTGTCAGGGTTATCCTTGACTTGTGCAGTTCAAACCTGTCAGAGACACTGGAAATGAATTCTGATAAATGTTTAGGTCTTCATCACTTCTAGTTTATTTTTCTTGATAACCTAAACAAGTGGTGCCCTCACAAAACCAACAAGCAGAAGCTATAGGAAAAGGCTGTCATATCTGAAAGTGGAGAAATAGTTGAATGCACTAATTTGATTGTTTTGCCTTTTTTCAGATCACCAAGTTTCTGTAATCTGTGTGTGCGCAAATTTGATCGCTTGAATGTTCACACGATGAAGTTTGATGACTTCATTCAGTGTTGTGTTATGCTGAAATCTTTAACAGATGCTTTTAGGAAACATGATCATCAACAGACTGGCACAGTTACCATCAATTATGAACAGGTAAGAAAGTGATGGGTTGTAATTTGTTAAAGTTTTGACAAATCAGTCCTGTAGTGAAACAAGTTTTTTCTGAATTGTTTCACTTAAAGTTTTCAACTTGGTATATTGTATAAGACCAGGTAGGAAAAGGAACGTGTAATGTGTGGGACTTTTGAGCAGCTGTAAAGAGCAGACCTGTCCTGTTCTGATTTATATGTTCAGCTGGAAAATGATAAACTTCATTTATCTATGAATTTGTTGTTGTTGTCGATATCTTCATTTGACTACCAGTTAAAAATAGGTAAGAAAATCATTAACTCTCTCACAAAGCACTTTTAAAGGTTCCCTGACATTTGAACCAGGATGGAAGCACTTTGCTTCCCAGGAAACATATTTAAGGCTTTGTCATTGGTTGTAATTGGGATTGTGATCTCCTTGAGTTAGCTTGAAAGTACTAAAGGGAGACTTTTGTATAGCCAGTGATTTGGGAAAAGGCCAAAATTTTTACAGAACTGCACCCTGTATGGTTTTCCAGTAATGCTTATGTTGGTTTTTGAAATTGCCCTATGTCTTATATCTAGGAAATTTGATTTCCATGAATTCTCATTCAACATTTTATTTCAGTTTCTAGAAATGGTGCTTGGGCACACTTTGAGTGGAACATAACAATGTTGATATGCTGTGTTGAACCTTTGACTCTCCAAGTAGTCCTCCAAGCAGTATGTCATCTTTTGAAGGGTTTCACTGGCTTGCACTTCAAAACTGCAAGCTAAAAGTACTAAACCTTACTTACTATAGGTAAAATTAGAATATCATTTTAATAAATTGTGTAATCTTGGGTATGACATAAATGTTTTCCTTTTACAAAATCAGGGGAAGTGTTTAGGATGAACTGTATTTACCTGCAGGTTATTAAAATCTTTGTTGTCTGTTTCCCCAGTGTCTGCACTTGTTATGAATAAATGGGGGGAACATCTGTTTTCTGTTGGATTTAAATTAGCTCTTCAAAAATAGAAAGACAGTGCAATTATATTTAGTTTTTTTTTCATTGTCATTTGCTTAAGACATGCTTTTAAATGGGACAACCATAAAGTTTTTATAGGAGAGAGCTTTACAACAGCCTCTATAGCATATTTTATTGTATATTAGACCACATAATTTTAAGTTTACAAGCAATGTTACTCTTAGCAGTTTTTACAAGTTGTTTGTTAGCCCTTTGGTGTTAGCAATATTGATATTCTGTAGTATTAAGTGTTGTCTAGATAAGATATATTACACTGTTTCTGCAAGAATATGTTTTTGTTTTTCTGAGTTGGAGTAGACAGATTTGTCTAAAAGGCATTGTGTTGAGTGTCAAGTTTTTAAGTCAATCCATATTTTCTTCTCTGGGGCATCTTGAAGTGGTGATTGAAGCAGCCAGTAAAGCAATACAAAGTAACCAGTGAGGTTGGTTGCCTGCTGCTTCTCATCAAGTAGAATTTTAGGTTTCATAGAAGCCTTCCTGATGAAGGGGTGGAAAATAACATTAGGTAGTACTTCTTATTTTATAGAAATTTTTCTGCTCAAATTACCAAAATTACTTATCCTTGAAGTGCATCAATTTAACATCTTACATGACTAAGTCATAAATTACTAGAGAGATTCTCATTTGCAGAATCTAATACTTTATTTGCAGGGTTCCTTCTTGGGTGCTAGGGCTGGTCTGTAATTTATACATGGTGACAAGGTACATGATTTTGTACAGAATATTCATCACTGGCTGCCAAACTGAAAGATATGCAAAATGTCTCCCAAACATCCTGTTATGGCTGGTTATGCCAAGTTATCAATTGAGTTTTTTTCTCTTCCACAATCAGGCAGAGAGAGCTCTGTAAGTCCCACTAACCAGTCTACTTTAAGTTGTCTATTACAAAAAAAAATTACTTAGCAGTGAAACTATAGGTAGTCTTGCCCTGTATCAACCGTTTTATGTTAATAAATGTTCTTCTGAAAAAACCTGCTTTCTAGGAGTCTAGCTAGGAAGATTTTCCCTTTCATTATCACCCATATCTCCAACAAAATTCTGATTAGTTCAAAACTTTGCCAAAGATGTGCCTACAACTTGCTACAGCTGAAGATTGTAAGTTCAAATTTGGACCTCAAGGGTGTAAGACACTTCTGTTTGCAAGAGAACATAGGTACAATGCATAACAGTTTACCAATGTAGAATTCTTTAAGACTCCTAAGGAATTTTCATAAATTCTTTTCTTTCCCACCTGAAGCACCTTTGAGTCCAATCTTGCATGACCTAAATTTTTTAAACTGCAAATTAATGATTAAGGGGGAGGGTGTTTCAAATATGACCCCGTACTCATCTCTCTAGTCACTTAAAAATACAAATATCTCTTGCTTTCGAGGAACTTGTGGCAAATGATACCAGTTATTTATCTAAAAGAGATATTTTTTACAATTACAGTTTCTTTGAGATTTTCACCCTAGCTCTCTTTCTCTTACACGACCCTACCCTTGATAGTGGTTAAGTCCCAGTCTTACCTCTGTCTTTGTAAACAGTCAATAAACATGGCGGACACAGCGACTTCGAATGGAGTATCGCTGCTGTTCAAAAATTTGACCGCGCGGGTTAGATTTAAATGTGAAATGATGGCAAAGATCGATGCCTGAAGTCTTCCAAATTTGAAAGGTAAAAAAGACAATGCAGGTGTTACGAAGGTTTGCATAGTTTTACACCCGTTTTACTGTGATCTTGTGTTGTTATGATTGTTGATATCTTGATCGATGGTCTGTTTTTCGATTTCCTAAGTTAAGCATTTCTGTCCAAGAATTCTGAAGCAGCCTCAACATTTGAAGAGTGCTTTAGGAGTATTAGAGCCTTTGGAAGGAACGGCGTCACCTTGTTCCTAAAGAATTCACCTAACACAGTTTTGTCAGGGAACCCCACCCCAAGATCCCAGCCCCTACCCCTGTAAAAGACACTTGTAATCAAAAGGTCACCACTCTCATATACCTGGCACAATAAAACCTAAGAAAACTGCATCCCTTTTCTGCCCTAAGAGAAGTGAAAACAAACAGAACCTTAAATAGATAGCGGAGCAGCTTTTCCCTTGAGCCACCTCTAAAATAAGCAAATAAATTTACTAGGTAGGCACTTTTAAAACCTGACAACAGTATTCCAGAATCTCTTCACAGACTGACATATATGGTACCTGTACTTATAGATCTTAAAACATCACCAGCTTAAATGAGAGGTCCCCTATCAGGTGAAAAATTGATAATTTATAAAAAGTACTCCCCACTGGATGATAGAGCATTCCCCCATGTAGCCATCTCTGCTGCCCTTCATAAATAGTTTTTGCATTGAAAAGTATTCTGAGGTTTGATATTCAGTCCAGCATAGCCCCACTCACCACTCATGCTGTCCTGAAAACATTGTTTTAACATCTGGTTGGAGAGTCTGTGAATTATTACACTCAATTTTTGTAAACCTATTGAAAGCAGACTTTTGTTTCTGTAATTTTATAACTTAATGTTTTCTACCTTTTAAAGAAAAATGCAGGACAGTGAAGGAGGGCTATTTCAAGAATGGTTTTCCTCCATCAGTAGCATTCTAAATCAAAGAGTCAATGTAAAAGAGATCTCAGCTCAGTTTGGCTTGCTACAATCAGATGAAGAGAGAGTTGCATTTGGTCTGAATTGGGCTTGCCTCCATGAGGTTATGAAGGTGGAACCTTGCTTTAATTCAAAGTCAGCAGAACATTCTATCAGGCTGCGTAGGGAAGGAAACAAATTGTACCAAAAAGATCAACATTACAAGGCACTAGAAGTTTATACTTGCAGTATTTTGAATGCACCTGTTGAAGGTCCTGGTAATGAATTGTCTCTTGCTCTGGCAAATAGATCTGCAGTCTTGTTTAAGCTAAGGGAGTATCCCAAATCTTTGGAGGATATTCAACAGGCTTTGAGCTATGGGTATCCTGTGGAACTCAGGTACAAGTTGCTTGACAGACAAGGAAAGTGTCTTTTACAACTTGGTAGAAGAAGTGCAGCCGTTGACTGCTTTCAAGAGGCTAAGAAGGTTCTTGATGAGTCCAAGCTGGATGAAACCAAAAGAGGAACTTTTTTGAAAGACCTTGAAATGGAAATTTCAGTATGTAGAACTCAGGAATTGAAAGTAAACAAAAGTCATGAAAAGCCTACAGATATAAATGAAAATGATGATCATCTGTTGCACCAAGAATTTGCTTTGCCAAAACACACTCATGGAAGGAATATCAAGTTTACTTCAGCCTCTTGTTGTGTGGACATCATCTCATCCCCAGACTATGGTCGTCATTCAGTAGCAACTCAAGATATTTTTGTTGGAGACATCCTGGTCATTGAAAAGCCTTTTGCATCTGTTCTTCTACCAGAACATGTGGAAACACACTGTTATCACTGTCTGAAGCGTGTGACTGTCCCAATGCCTTGCTGTCAGTGTACTACTGTCAGGTACTGCAGTGTAGTTTGTGCAAAGCAAAGCTGGGATGGTTATCATTCAGTGGAATGCAAATATCTCAACCTTATCCATAAAGCCAAAATTGGCAAAAATGGTCACCTTGCTCTGAGAATAATAGCAAAAGCCAGATATAAATTCCTGAAGAACTTCAGACGTGAAATGAGGAAAAGACTGTGTGACAAAGTCAGCCGAGAATCTGGCTGCCTAGATGATGGAAGCTATATTTCATCTGATTACCTTCCAATTTACTGCCTTGTGACTCATTCAGAGGACAGAAGTGCTGGTGATCTGTTCCGCCGCACAGTGATGGCCATATTCCTGTTAAAGATACTTCAAGGAGGTAGCTTTTTCGGCAAGGATCCATACTCTCAAGATGACCTGATCTTCATTGGTGGCCTGATCTTGCGTCATCTTCAGTCAAATCCTTGTAATGCTCATGAAGTTTCAGAACTTCAGCTGAATCTTAACTCAGTTGCCACATCAGAAACAGGTGAAATTGCCTCAGGGATATATGCTACCCTAAGTTTGTTCAATCATTCTTGTGATCCATCAGTGACCAGAAACTTTTATGGTGACACATGTGTTGTGCGTGCCATAAAAAATATTCCAAAGGGTGAAGAAATTTCTGATAACTATGGCACACTTTGTGCACTCACTCCTAAAGCTGAAAGACAAAAAGAACTTGCAAGTCAGTATTACTTCACTTGTCATTGTAGAGCTTGCAAGGAAGACTTTCCTTTGTATTTAGATATTCCAAGCAATGCATCCCCAGTGTTTAAATGTCAAAGCTGCCGTATTCCTCTTTCCATTAAGAATGAGGGCAAAGTACCATCAAGTGTCTGTTCCAAGTGCCATTGTTCTTATGATTTGTGGCAGATGAGAGCCACTTTAGAGGATTCAACTCAGTTATTTGAGCAAGCCATTGATGCTCTTCTTCTCAAAGCAGATGTGGAAGGAACCTTGAGTGTGTTCATATCTCATCTTAGACTGCTGGAAGAGCTTGTGTGTCGTCCCTGGCAAGATTACAACAAGTGCCAGGAGGCAATCAAACAGTGTTACAGTATTATGGGCAACTGTCATGTACTGAATTGATGGTACAGCTACTGATTGCAAACATTTTTACATTACTTACAGTCAAAAGATTTTTATGATTTTGTTATCTATAATGCATTGCCTTTGTGAAGAGGGATGGTCTACCCTAGATGCTGTGCTGGTCAACTCACAGGCACCAGTGCTTAACTCTTGGACATCCACCGATAATTCAACACCATCAACTTACTACTTGTTTACATCTGCTGTTGTTTTTTTTCCGCAAAATCATTGCTTGGAATAAGTCAAAAAATGAATTTATTGGCCTTTCTATACTCCAGATTGTAACTAACTGGTGTCTAGAGTTGTTTTATCAGTACAAGAGAACATTACCTTAAGTGTAAAATGCTTTTTTCATTTAATTCCTAAACCAAACTTTTATTTTGTTAACTCAGACTGACTTTCTTGAAAATCACACAGTAAACTTAATTAGAATGGTTATAAAGCTTGGAAATAAATGATAGACTTAAATCGAGATCAAAGATAATTGAACTTGATCAAAACTTTCAATTTAATATCTAATCCCTCTGAGTGAAAAAATAAAATTAGACAAAATTAATGAAAATTACAAAATTTAAAACTCCATTTCTTGCATGGTTAACTCAACTCTGGTTATTAGCTCATATGCCAAATCACCCTCTAGTTATATGGAAAATGATTTACCCAAGTGTTACTACACTATATTTACTTTTGGCTGGAAGCAAACACTTCTCCTGTGCATTGTAGGTTATTTAATGTAAAGAAACTCACTTGTTGGATACAAGAATGTTTATAACTCATATTTACCATTTCATATGCAATAATTGTTAAATATCAATCAGGGGATTACTAGTTGATCCAATACCAAATTCTCAGAACTATCATCATAGGAATTGTCTAGCAGACAGTAAGGAGAACTACTAATTAATTGATTTTAAGTGTAAAAGGGTTAAGCTAATTAGATTTCCTCCAATTTGAATTACATTTTAACATAAACAATACAAATAGAAGAGAGTAAAAGATAGTGTAAGGTCAAAGTAAGGCAGTAATAACAATTGTGAAAAAAAAGTACTTGAAAATTGCTCTTTTAAATAGTTTTATGATAGTCTTCTCTCGTAAAGATATAGGAAAATCATTCCAATAGTACCATGAAATGATTGTTGGAAAAAATCTCAGTTATAGATCACAGATGATGTCAAAATGTGGTAAGAACAAAAAAGTGGTACATGAGGCGCAGCCGAGTGTGTCACTGATGTTCTTACCACATTTTGACGTCCTCTGTGATCTATTAATGAACAGACGCACGGCAACTTGGAATCTATTTGTTTTAAACAATAAAGAATTAAAAAAAGTTTTAATGATGACGTCATCTATATGTCTGTCCTCCAATAGATCATAAGTGAGAACCAATCAGAATGCGTGCATAACTGAGCTTATTATATAAATATAAACTTTTTAATTAGAGCTGTTGTATTGATATAGGCTTTGAAGTCTTCCTTTTTAAGTTTAGCATAGGATCGTAAGTATAAAAACAAATTAAAAACAAGGAATGCATGAGAGGTAGTATGCCTGTTACCAGGTGCCTCACCTATAGGGCTGCCAATTGTAACACAGTGGACACATTTGATGGAAAAAATATCTATGTCTATATATATATATATAATATACATATATTTATAGATTTACCACCAAAATTAAACAGTACAGAGCCTTGATTAAAAGTCGTAAAATATCACAAATTTATTTTTTTCTCAGAGAGTACGGTAACGAATCCTGCAATCTGATTGGCTCTTAGCGCGGTCAGTATTCCTATCTCTGCCCATGGGCACGGTAACGCTTTACCGAGTACATCCCAATCTTCACTAACATTTTTCTAGGAAAATATCTCGTTTTTCCGGCTGGGCAGTATTTTTAAACGAAGACGTCGGTCACTACCTCAAGCCAATAAATAACTTTGGTTGACAAGCGGCCTAAAAACCGTCTGTACTTAATTTTAATCCTTTACAAAAAGTACCTAGAAAGTTAAACGCGAGGTATTTGGTTACAATTGAATCATAGATCGAACTTTCATTCATTTAATATCTGAATTCTCTCAAACAATTTGTTCGTGGTGAAATGGCGAGCGAAGTCTTCAGTTCTACTTCAAATACGCTTTTGGTGAGTCTTTCCAAGTTCGTTCATTTTGGACATTTGTACCGTAAATTGACAAAAGAAACTGAAGGAATTCAATGAGAAAAAGTCGCATTAAATCCCCTTGTGTCTAGTTGAAGTGCTCATTCGAATTTACTTGTTGTGTAGGAAAGACCAGGTTTACACACGCCTTTACAGCAAACAACGAGCAAGCTCTCACAACTTCAAAATAAAAAAATTTGAATTTACTTACAATTAATTTCCTTGCCATTTACTTACTGAATAGAGGCAAATCTTCGTACGTTAATCAATCGTCGATGAGAGTGAATAATACTTTCCGTAAGATCATTGACTGTTTTTGAAGAAAACATTGTCGTGACAGCCCTTGCCAAACTAATTCTGTTGTTCTTTCAAAAGTGTACATGCGCTTTTTTTTCTTACACGCTCTCTAATTGACAGGTGTCAGATTGTGACAGATATTTGTAAAAATGTTTCATATTTTTTTTGGAAACCTTTTCAATCACCCTTCTCATTACGCAAATGAAAATCTTTCGGTGAAGCCTCTTTATTTCCATTACTTCAATTTTAAATACCCTTTACTCGTTCAAAAATTGTTCAGTTTATGGAAGATCTTGCAGTAATGACAGCCATAAATCATTCGGGTTCGTTTGGAGAGAATTTCGTTAAGTTTAAGTGAAAAATAACAATGTTATTCACCAGCCTAGGTAGGTCTTTATTGGAAAAAACTGTGCACTCTGTCTTGAGTACAGTTTTTCACGTAAATGTACAAACTTTTTTCAACTTTTTAGCTGCATATTATGATTGTTCACTGGCTGAACTAAAACAGCTTATTAAGCGTTTACTACTTTAAGTTTTCTCTCTTTACAGGCAGTTGTTTATTTTTCAAAATGTTTGTTCGGTGTATAAAATTAAGTTCTCAAATGTGCGTGTGTGGATCAGTAACTTGTGCGGGCTCAGATGGTTTGACAAGATAATTCAGAATATTTATTTAAACATGAAATGACGGTAGAAAAAATAACGAGGATCATCTGATGACGAAGTATTACAAAAACTTTATTCTTTTTACAGTTAGTTATTACACCATTATTTTTATTACAGTTATCTATTAGAATTTTCTCCTCACTATATTGTCCCAATTTTAAACACAAACGTAATAACTGCAAACGCGTTTCTCTCTGTCTGCTTCCGTTCCCAGTGTCGCTATTTCGTTGGTCTCCGCTGTTTGAGAAGCCCGGAATGAGCTTTGCAGAATGCTACTTGAAAGGACGTCTGATGTTTCTTTCAATTTTGCCGATATATTCAGAGCGAGCCGCGAGAAAATATTCATCTCTTATGGTTTAATTATTAATAACTATCACAGATGTATGCTCAGACACATCGAATGGTATGCCTGTGGTTGCTTGTTGTTAATTTTCCGAGAAAGCGCTTTGGTTAAGCACTCATTCTACGAAAAGCTGTCAGACAATGATCTTTTGTTAACAAATGCAAATGCATTGCTCTCTGTCCAGTATCGTTATCACGCTCTCTCGTTGGTATCCGTTATTTGAGAGACTAGGACGAGCTTTGCAGAATGATACATGAAAGGAAGTCCGAAACACTACGGAAGGTGAAAAAAAAACACATCATTTACTTAAGTTTCTTTCAATTTTACTGATATATTCAGAGCGAGCTGCAAGAAAATATTCATCATTCAGAGGTTTAATAGTTCATCACTTTCACGGATACATACACAGACACATCGGGTGGTATGCCTGTGGTTATCTGTCGTTAATTTTCCGAGAAAGCGCTTCGGTTCAGCACACATTCCACGAAAAGCTATCAGACAAAGATCTTTTGTTAATACGGGTGCCAGTCAAAGAGCCAATTTCACCATGGATGTTCAACAACTGTTCAAAAACCTCAGGAAAGAAGCTGAATGTCCTCTGTGCTTAGAGACAGTCAAAGATCCCAAAACTCTGCCATGTTTACACTCATTCTGTTTGGTATGCCTCGACAAACACGCAAACTACGCAAGAAGACAGCTTCAGACAGCAATCAGATGTCCGGTTTGTCAGGCTAGCTTTCAAATCCCTGAAGAAGACACTTTTGGCGGCCTACCCGCGTCTTTTCATCTCAACCGATTGGTGGATCTCCTTGCTCTAGCGGATGGTGGCACAGATTCCCAACAATGCGGCAGTTGCGAAGAAAACAACAGTGCAACTCACTATTGTTTTGAGTGCCAGAGCTTTCTCTGTACAACATGTTTTGAAGCTCATCAACGCATCAAGGCCACAAGAGGTCACAAAAATATCTTTGTCAAGAATTTGCAGGCAAGCGATGTTGACAAGTTGATACGCAGACCAGCCATGTGTTCAGAGAAATACCACCAAGATCAGCCACTCGAATATTATTGTCAAGATTGTAACGTTTGCACCTGCATAAAGTGCAGTGTTGTGAGTCATAATCACCACACAATGGTTGATATGCAGAAAGCTGCAGATGAACAAAAGATGCAAATAGCTGAAGCTTTGAAGAAAGTGAAAGCAGAAGTTGTTATTTTCGAAAATGAAATGAAGCACCAAATGGAGTTAATGGACGAAAACAAAACACAAATATCGGCTGCAAGAGAGAAGATGAACGAGACTGTGGACAACTGTATTCGCTTATTAACGGAGCATAAAGCGTCGATGAATTTGAAATTCGATGAAATTAATCAAGCGCATCAAAAAGCTCACGCAACACATCTGGAAAACTTCCAGCTCGCTGTCACTCGGTTAAAAAGTTCTCTTGAACAAGGTGAGAACATCTTAGAGAGGAATATCAATGCTGAAATTTTGCAAACGAAGCCAGTGATTATTGGACGCTGCGAGGACCTTTTGAAAGCAGAAAGACCTGCGACTTACGAACCACCCCATGTAAATTACGTTATAGAACAGAAAATGGATGTTGTGGATCAAGTTGTGGTGAGCCAAACAGATCCCTCTTTGTCAAGTGTCGAAGGACTTTTGAGGGAAGTGAAAGAACAGATAGATACAAATTTTGTTGTTTTCACGAGAGATTCATTTGGAAGACAGTGCTATAACGAGGATGATCATATTATGTGTGAAATTTGCACTTCAACAGGGGATAGTTTGGAAACAGATCTGGAAATTGTAGACAAGGAGGATGGTTGCTACACAGTATATTATACACCAGATCGTGTTGGAATAGATGAGGAGGAGATTGAAGTGAAGATTGAAGTGAATGGAAAACCGCTGGATGATAGTCCTTGCAGTGTTGTTGTCATCCCTATGTATCAGTATGATTTTGAATTTGGTTTAACTGGTAACGGACCAGGACAATTTAATACTCCTTATGATATTGCCATAAGTGAGGAAACAGGAACTATTGCTGTATCTGACTACCAAAATAAGAGAATTCAGCTGTTTGACTCTAATGGCGGCTACCTGAGAGAGATAGGACTGACGGCTAACTGCACCTCATTAGACTTTACCAAGTCCGGTCACATAATTGCCGTTACTCCTGGTGACGTTCACAAAATTTCTTTGTTTTCTAAGGAGGGTCAGTTTGTCAAGCACATCGACAGTGAGCACTTGAAGTTTCCTTTTCATATATCCACTGATGAAGAAGATTATATAACGATATGTGATCAAGAGAGTAATGAGGTCATAGCCATCTCTCCTGACGGAACAGGGTTAGTAACACGAATTGCTGCTTCAGAGCATGATCAGTCAATTATGTGCGCCATCTACCACGAAGAAACAGCCTGTTTCTTTGTCTCTGATTCTAAGGCTGACTGTGTCAATGTTTTTGATGAGAATGGAAACTTCTTGTATGATATTGGTCGCGGGAGTTTACTTTATCCTGTCGGCCTTGCTATTGACAAATGTAACAATTTGATCGTTTGTGATACTGGGAACCAGAGACTCGTGATATTTACTACTGAGGGAGACTTTCTGTCAGAGACTGAACAATGTTTCCACGCACCGTATTTTGTTGCCGTGTCTGAAGATGGAAACGTTCTAGTCACTGATTATGAGAAAAATTGTGTTTATCGTTTTTATTAGACCCGTAATCGCGATGTACTTGTTAAAGATAAGTCTTACAGCCTGAGCTTAGGACTCATTCATCAGCATAAAACACTCTTTTAATGAAGTAAATGGGAAGAGTGGACAGAGGGAAGTAAGCATCATGATTTTTTTTAATTTTTGACGAGATAGAAATTTCATTAGGTGCCTATTACTTTGGACTGCCATGGTGCAGGGTCAAATTAAGGCAGTAATAAAAAATGAGAAAAGAAGTTCTTTTAAACTGCTCTTTGAAATAGTTTTCTGGTAGTCTTCTCCCATATAGATATGGGAAGATCATTCCAGTAGTAACATCTAATGATTGTTGGACAGAATATCCTTAGATATTTTTATATAAATTTTTCAATAAGACCTGTTGTGTTGATATAGGGTTTAAAGATTAGACTTTCTTTTTAAGTTTAGGGTATGATCGTAAGCATAAACAATTTTTTAAACAAATTAAAAAGAAAGAATGTATGAGAGGTAGTATGCCTGTTAAATTCTTTTACATTTTTGACAAGGTAGAAAATACATCAATTGCTTCACATAGAGGACTGCGGACACATCTGATAAAAAAAATATCTCTAGGGGTATATATATATATATATATATATATACACACACACCACCAAAATTAAACAATACAGAGCTTTGATTAAAAGTCGTAAAATATCACAAATGTAGAAACTTTTTTCAACTTTTTAGCTGCATATTATGGTTGTTCACTAGCTGAATAAAACAGCTTATAAAGCGTTTACTACTAGAAGTTTTCTTTTTTTACAAGCAGTTGTTTATTGTTCAAAATAAATTTTTGGTGTACAAAATTAAATTCGCAAATGTGCGCGTGTAGATGAAGTGTAAATCGAGTACTTGTACATTTTATAAATTTTCCCTACGGGTTCAGTCTTGCGCAGTATATGCGATGGTTTGACAAGACAATTCAAAACTTAATTTTAGAGGGTCTATCTAGAGCGCTGATAGCGTAAAAAAAGGTTTTGTTTGTCTTTGAAAATGGCGACCAACTCTTTTTGAATTGGCTACCACTTTGAAGAATTTAGGAGCCAAGTGGCAATCAGAAAAAAAAATTCACGCCCTGTATCAGTACTTAGGGAGTGTTGAGAGGCAGACTTTTGTTACTTAGTGAGGGTGGAGGCGCGAGGACGAACTATTAGTACGCAGGGAGGGGTGGAAGGTGGTTATAGAGGTAAATGCTACTGCTTAAAGGAGTTTTTACTGGATCATACAAATTTTTTTGAGCGGTTTTTCTGAATGACTATTTTTTGTCAAAATGTTTGAGCTGGGCTGTTCTTTTGTCATGCGAATGCGAAACGGCCATCTAAACACTGGACTTCAATTGTAAGTGAAAATATGGCCAATTCTCGTTTTTTGATCCTCCACTGTTGAGTCATGCGTGTACCTTTAAGTTGACTTGTTCCGATGCTAAATGACACTCACCGCTTATCACGAATCCTCTTTCAGTTGCTTCACGTTTCCCTTTGTGTGGACAGTATATCATTACTAAATTTATTTATCATCCTCTTGTCATTGATTAATGTTTTGTACCAGGGCTGGTACTTGCAAACAAAAGAAAACCTCGTTTTTAACATCATGCATGGCAAATTTTGGTTTGACGGCGACTTCTTTGTTCGCCAGCGAGGAGCTCCGCCAGTACCAGTCGCTTTCATAAACTAATTTTTTCTCTTCTTGACAGAATGGTGCTTTCTTTCTTCTTTGGGCCTGTTTCTTTTTTTTTTTTCTCTTTTTTTACCACGGACTTTCTTTCGCTTTTGATTTTTTCATGAGCAAATAGATTCCACGAGTGAATTTTGTAAAGTGCGCGATGTAAACAAAATATGGAATAAACATGAAAATCGAGCCCAAACATGAACAGTTGCCGCGCGGGATTCGCCCAGGTGCGCGAGCGAGATTATGACACCTTCCTGATTTATTAACTTTTATTTGAAAATACGTTTTTCTAAATAACTCGGGTGCTTTTAAAGATTTCTGGAAATAATTTTGCGGAAACGTTAGGTTGAATGTTTGAATTCAATTTAGTCAAATAAAAGAAAAATCGATTTTTTTTTCCGCTTCTGAAGGTGGGAAGTTTGCCCTAAAAACAAACCTGTTATTTGAAAAATTATCCAGCGCTGAAACTGTGCTGTTTTAATCATCAATGTGCGTAGTGGAATGCGTGATATGACACTTAAACGTTTGTTTATGTATCAAAAAGGGGAAACCTGTGTATCTGAAAAGAGATAAGATTGCTTTGTACGATTGTACAAACAAAGATTTTTTATACTAAAGGTATAAACGCTAAAATTGCAATAGCGCATATGAAAACATACGGCTAAGGACCGAAAATTCCGTGATCCCGTCTGATAAGGTCAACGACAAAAGGAAGATATACAAATTTAGTAATTATATACTATATACACAGAGCAAATGATGATGCACAAGTCTACTCAAAAGCCACACGTATAACTCAACAGTGGAGGATCGTAGACGTGATATTTTCAAGAACAATTTAAGTCCAGTATTTAGGTGGCACTTTTGCATACGCATGACATAAAAAAGGAAGAAACGCTGCGGCCTAGCGCAAGAATTTTGGCACACAAAACGTCAGTGGAAAAGCCGATTAAAATAATTTGTATGATCGAGTAACAATGAAACAATACGGGAGGTATTAAAAAAACATATCATCCTATCAATTTTACCGATATATTTAGAGCAAGCCGCAAGAAAATATCCATCACTCAGTGGTCTGATTATTCATAACTGTCACAGATATATTTTCATACATGCACAGACACGTTGAGTGGAACGCTTGTGGTTGCCTCGAGAAAGCGCTTCGGTTAAGCACACCTTCCTCGAGAAGCTGTCAGACAATGATCTTTTGTTAATACGGGTACCAGTCGAAGAGCCAGTTTATCCATGGATGTTCAACAACTGTTTAAAAGCCTCAGGAAAGAAGCTGAATGTCCTCTGTGCTTAGAGACAGTCAAAGATCCCAAGACTCTGCCATGTTTACACTCATTCTGTTTGGTATGCCTCGACAAACACGCAAACTACGCAAGAAGACAGCTTCAGACAGCAATCAAATGTCCGGTTTGTCAGGCTAGCTTTCAAATCCCTGAAGAAGACACGTTTGGCGGCCTTCCCGCGTCTTTTCATCTCAACCGACTGGTGGATCTCCTCGCTCTAACGGATGGTGGTACAGAGTCCCAACAATGCGGCAGTTGCGAAGAAAACAACACTGCGACTCACTATTGTTTTGAGTGCCAGAGCTTTCTCTGTACAACTTGTTTTAAAGCTCATCAACGCTTCAAGGCCACAAGAGGTCACAAAAATATCTCTGTCGACAATTTGCAGGCAAACGATGTCGAAAAGTTGATTCGTAGACCAGTCATGTGTTCAGAGCAATATCATCAAGATCAACCACTGGAGTATTATTGCAAAGATTGTAACGTTTGCACCTGCATAAAGTGCAGTGTTGTGAGTCATAATCACCACACTATGGTTGATATGCAGAAAGCTGCAGATGAACAAAAGATGCAAATAGACGAGGCTTTGAAGAAAGTGAAAGCGGAAGTTGTTATTTTAGAAAATGAAATGAAGAACCAAACTGAATTAATGAACAAAAACAAAACACAAATATCGGCTGCCAGAGAGAAGATGAACGAGACTGTGGACGATTGTATTCGCTTATTAACGGAGCATAAGGCGTCAATGAATGCGAAATTCGATGAAATTAATCAAGCGCATCAAAAAAGCTCACGCAACACATCTGGAAAACTTCCAGCTCGCTGTCGCGCAGTTGAAAAGTTCTTTGGAACAAGGGGAGAATATCTTGGAGAGGAATATCAATGCTGAAATTCTGCAAACGAAGCCAGTGATTATTGGACGCTGCGAGGACCTTTTGAATGCGAAAAAGCCCGAGATATACAAACCACCCCGTGTTCATTACGCAGTAGAGCAGAAATTGGATATTTCAGATCGAGTTGTTGTGAGCCATACGGATCCCTCATCGACACTTGTCGAACGCTGGCAGGAGAAGGTAGAAGAACAGAAAAAGACATATTTTACTATTATCACAAGGGATTCAGAGGAAAGACAGTGTTATAATGAGGTTGATTGCATAAAATGTGACATTCGCACTTCCACAGGGGATAGCTTCGAAACCGCTGATCTAAAGATTGAGGACAAAGAAGATGGTAGCTACAATGTAGAATACACACCACCTCATATCGGATTGTATGAAGTGAAAATTGAAGTGAATGGACAGCCGCTGGATGGTAGCACGTGGAGTGTGCAAGTCATACCTCATCAGTATCAATTGAAGTTCAGTTTTGGTTCAAATGGCAGTGGACCAGGACAGTTTGATGGACCTTATGATATTGCTGTTGACAAGAAAACAGGAACTGTTGCCGTATCTGACTATGGAAATAAAAGAATTCAGCTGTTTGATATTACTGGCCGCTATCTGAGAGAGATAGGACTGAGGGCTAACTGTAGCTCATTAGACTTTACCAAGTCCGGTCACATAATTGCCGTTACTCCTGGTGACGTTCACAAAATTTCTTTGTTTTCTGAGGAGGGTCAGTTTGTCAAGCACATCGACAGTGAGCACTTGAAGTTTCCTTTTCATATATCCACTGATGACGATGATGATATCACGGTATGTGATCAAGAGAGTAATGAGGTCATAGTCATCTCTTCTGACGGAACAGAGTTAGTAACACGAATTGCTGCTTCAGAGCATGATCAGTCAATGATGTACGCCATTTGGCATGAAGAAACAGGCTGTTACTTTGTCTCTGATTCTAAGACTGATTGTGTCAAAGTTTTTGATGTGGAAGGAAACTTCTTGTATGATATTGGTCGCGGACGTTTATCTTATCCTGTCGGCCTTGCTATTGACAAATGTAACAATTTGATCGTTTGTGATACTGGGAACCAGAGACTCGTGATATTTACTACTAAGGGAGACTATCTCACAGAGACTGAACAATGTTTCCACACACCGTATTTTGTTGCCGTGTCTGAAGATGGTGATGTTCTAGTCACTGATTATGAGAAGAATTGTGTTTATCTTTTTCATTAAACCTGTAATAGCGATAAACGCGTTTTAGATAAGTCTTACAGCCTGAGCTTAGGTCTCATTCATCGGCATAAAACACTCCTTTTAACGAAGTAAATAGAAAGAGTGCACAGAAGAAAGTAAGCGGTATGTTTTTTGAAATTTTTGACAGGATAGAAATTTCACCAAGTACCTATTACCTAGGACTGTCATTTGAAGCATAGTAGACACATTTGATTAGGAAGTCTGTTTTGATTTTTCCGTAGTACAGTGCTCG